CTTGGGCCTGTTAGTGGCACCGCACTCCGCCGCTCTGTTATCTCGAACCATTCCCGCCAGATACTCCCACGTTACATCATACTTGCGAAAAGAACGAGCGATACAGGCACACACGACGAACATGTATGTTGACTCTGCGAGGATCGCCTACCGTGCCATTCGCGATCCCGAAATGGATGTGCTGGTGACTGGATGTGGTTGTGTCTCGTTCCCGCCAAAAAAAGGTGATGGCAGCGTACTCGTTTGTGGGTACGAATCACCACTCATCAGCGAAAGTATCTTACCACACTGAGTTGTTATTTGAAAATACCTACGCTTGGAGTGTGGTGAACTACAAAGAGGTCCAATAAGTGGTCTCTTTCTCTTAGATGTGATTGTCATTTCTCGCAGATCTATCCATAGGCAATCCTCATGCATGTTTGTTCATTTTCAATAATTCAAAAAATGACACGCACTGTGGCTGTTCTTTTGCCTCACCAGCAAAATCATGCCCTCCATCAACGCCTCCATGCAGGCCCCCAGAAGTCAGACTTTTTTGTCTGATTTGCTTGTTTTAGTCTGAGATTTCAGACTTTTTTTAGGGTGTACTCTGTAAAATTCAGAGTTTTTATTGTCTCAAGTATGTGAAAATCAGATTTTTCTCTAGGCTGACTCTGACGTTTCAGAGTTTTATGGGAGTGTACTCTGATGAATTCAGAGTACAAACGAGTTCCGACTCTGAATGAATCTACCTGCGCGCTGACACCCAGGATTAGCTGTGGTACATACATTGTACCTGTACCGCCGCCCTGCGGCCCGGTGTTTCCCTCGTACAGCTGGATGTAGTGGTCGAGACAGAAGAGGAGCGCGTTCTTTCTTTCCCTCGGTGTAAGATGCTGCAGCAGTTGCCATGCCACCCACGTAAACGTGATGGCAAGCAGACGCTCCTTTAGGCAGCATCGTGTACCACGATGCTGCAACATCCACACCACACACTGCAACGATGCGCCTCGTCGTTGCCGTGCATTGTAGGCAACCACCCACACAACTCAATGATGGCCCATCTTGGTAAAGGGCCTTCGTGTTTGTGCTAGGGTTTCATCCACACCCCTCAGCTACATCTCACGGGCCCAAGCCAGTGCCCAGTTTTGCCTCAGCCATCATCTCTCTAGTTAGTTCCTGCTCGGCAGGCTCTTTCACAGCCCCGCCATGGCGGTGCTGGACAATCCCGCCACAAGCGACGACGACCCTGATGAGCGGCCTGCCTTAACAGGCTTGGACTTCTTGCTTAGTACACTAGATCTCGATAAAGCTGCACGCGTCATGCCCGATACGATTCCCATACAGAAAGCACCCGCGGCTCCAGTTTTCTCACTTTCTGCCGACCATGTGGCAGAGACATCAGCGAAACCAACCGTTGATTCACAGTCGCAGATTCCGACGCAGACCACGGCGCGCACGACCCGTCTCAAGCAGGCGACCTTGACCTTCGGCAAACCTGCGTCGTCAACTGCCAACGTCAAGAACGCTCCCGGAACATCTGATCGACCGCGACCTCGCCTCAATATCAATCTGGCCGAGCTCATCGAGGGAGTTTACGACGAAGCGATTGACAAGTTCAAAAATCATTGGTCTACCCGTTTTAAGTGGCTCACAATCACTAAAACCACTACCCGGCTTGCCTGCGTTCAAGTGTACCGTTTGTGCAGCCTTTGCTGGGGATGCAGGAACTTGCGGGAGGCGCGGGAGAGGCGCCACCGACCTGCAGACACAGTCTTTCCGTAAACACGCTGGCACGGCGAAGCACAAGCTGGCGGTTGAGAGACAGAAATATGAAGAGGAGTGCGGTGGACGGCAGCCACAGATCGACCAACATTGCGCCGCGGTGGACAGTGAGAAGATGCGGACCGTCGCCCTTCTGGACTCGCTGCTGTTCATCAGCAGGTCCGACGCGCCCATGGGGATGTGTGTGAAACTGGTGCGGTACTTGTCGGAGAAGGGCGTGCAAGGCTTCCCTAAGAGAGGGTACGGCACCTACTACACCACGTGAGTGCAACTGCCGTACGCCTCTTTATAAGTACCCACGTTTTAATAATGTTCTAACTAAATTGTTACTGACTAGTGGTTCCATGTGCAGATACGGCTTCGGTGAGCTGACACAAGCTACAGCCACATGGCTCCAGACAACCCAGCTGCAACATGTGCTATCGTCGCCCTTCGTCGGCATCTCGATTGACGAGAGCACGGATAGGTGCCGCGGGAAGCACTTGATCCTGTTCATCACCTTCGTCCGTGACTTCAAGGCCGTCATGGAGTTCATGGCGCTTCTCACCGTGGAGAAGGCCGACGCCGCTTCTCTTCTGGGCGTTCTGCTATCACACCTGCAGGCAGTCGGGGTCGACCTGCAGCGCATTGCAGGCATCAGCACCGACGGCGCGAACGTCATGATGGGCTGCAAGGACGGCCTCACGACACGCCTCCGCATGCGCATTCCCCATTTGGTGTCATCCCACTGCATCGCTCACAGGTAAACCTGTAGGTGCATAGGGTTTTTTGAAGTTCTTTAACGACTACATGTGACTAATGTTTCCCTTTTTTGTTTTTACAGGGAGGCACTGGGGGCTAAAACAGCCGCAGAGAAGATTCCCGCCTTCAACGTCATTGACACGGTGATCCGCACCGTGGCTGAGCATCTCGGTCGAAGTGGGCCATGGCATCAGCGGTTCATGGGGCTGCAGGAAGTATTCACCTCCACCTCACTGGAGCTGCAAGGGATCCATGCAGTCCGTTGGCTTTCGCGGGGCGACGCAGTGCTCAGACTCGTCGCCGTCCTTCCGGCTCTCATCGTGATGTTGAAGGAGTGGGACGCGACGCTCTATGCGCTGGTGACGAGCTACAGGTTTCATTTCCTCCTGTTTTTCATTGCAGATGTGCTTGAGCAGCTGAACATACTCAACAGGGCATTCCAGCACAAGGAGGTAAGCTCTGGTTTATTGTTACTAGTTAAGTCTTTGTGCTAATGCCAGCTTCGTTTCTTCTAACCTTAGTCACTAACCACATGTCCACGTGTTTTTTTCCAGCTTGATTATGCCAGCGTGCATGCGCAGATCAAGCGTACAACATCCCACATCGAGAGCCGCTACGTCGACTGCGGAGACGACTTCGGAGGCGGCGTCAGCGAGCTGCTGTCCCCCTTCATCGCGCGCCATGGGCCTGGAGAAAACCGGGAGGTGAAGGTTGAAGGGATTGATTCGGACGGCCGACCAGCACGCTTCAAATTCGTGCTGCACGAGGACGAGCTGGAGGAGTTTGAAGGGCCCGGCACCCACGATGGCTGTATGGAGGTTTGCACAGAGTTTGCCGAGGTGATCGTGCACCAACTGGAGCACCGGCTTGGCGACCTGAACGGGATGTCCGGCGCTAGGCTCTTCACCCCCGACGAGTACCCGTTAGAGCGTGGAGAGAGGAACCGCAGGTGCCTCGAGTGGCTTCGGTCGCTTGTCACGCTGTTCAAGGCCGACCTGTCGGATGAGATCCTGCCAGGTAAGCCATTACGCAGCTTGGTTTTAATATCAGGCTACCCCGATGCATCGTTTGTATTGCATGTCGCTTCAACTAATGTTTGAATTTGGGTTCTGAGCTTGCTCCTCCCGTTTTACTTCCTACCCCGTCAGGAATTGACAAGCGCCGCGCAGAGAAGGAGCTGCGCATGTTCACTTCGGTGCTTGCAGCATCTACCAAGGGCGAGCGCAATTTTCACGCGGGTCTCACTGCCATGCTCAAGACTCCCGACTGGCGGGAGAACTACCCCAACTTGGTGCTCCTGTGGGTGGCGGTTGCTGTACTGCCGCTGAGCCCCGTGGAGTGCGAGCGGGGGTTCTCCCGCCATAACATCATTAAGTCGTGGAAGAGGGGCGCGCTCAAGGATTCTCGCCTGGGGGACCTTATGTGCATGAGCTTGATGGATTACGCCCCCGACTGGGATGAGATTGTGACAGTCTGGAGGAGTTACAAGAAGCGCAAACCCCAGAGCAACGCTCCACTCCCGCCCGCAGGAAAGCAACACAACAAGGGCAAGGAGGCAAATGAAGAGATGGATGTAGTAGTTGACCTAGAAGATGAGCAGGATGCAGTTGACTCCGATGATGATGATGGATTTAATGAGTAGGAGTCTAGGAGAGGAGGATTAGTAGGATGTTGTAGTGCTAGGATACATGAATAGGGTAGTTCTAGCTGGGAGCTAATCAAAGAAAAGTAGCATTTTGTTTGTAGGCTTTTGCAATGTACGTTACGTAGTTCAAACAAGACAAACAGTTCAGCAAGATAGCTAGAAAGACAATCAGACTTGATAGGCGGGTGATTCTGAATCTTTCAGACTTTTATTTTAGGGAACTCTGAACTATCAGCCTTTTTTTTTTGCAACTCTGTCAGATTCAGACTACAACTTTGGGAGAGTCTGACGAATCAGACAGGCTAAAAACGAATCTGAGGGCCTGCCTCCATGTCTTTGCCACTCATCTCCCATGTACCACATCCACCTCTCTCCTTGAAACTAGAAGTGCACTTGCATTTCAACCGTCTTTTGTCTCCATGACAACAGCCAGGCAGCAATGCATTGCAATCTCCACCCCTTGTTTAGTTGCAATCTCTTGCGTGTGCAGTCACTCTCACTTGCTCTCTCAGTTAGTTACTGTCTCTACATCTCAGATGGCACAGCAGCAAAGCTCTTCTCCAACGTACCGGCCTGTCTTGTTTTTTTTTTTTTTTTGTGCTCGAAAACATGTTTTAGGTGCTCCTCTGCTGCATGTAACAGAACACTCACAAGCAGATGATAACCAAGACGAGTTACACAAAATCACCCACGCTGAGACAACCAAAAGCACTACTTCCCGATCCCATCTTCCATCTAAAATCACAACCTCTTGTGCGACCATTGCAATTTGCCACCAACTTCATCTCGTTCTTCCAGTCCTCCCCATATTCCCTTCCCCTCATCCTCCTCACCAGCCCCTCCCACCGTGTTATTCCTCGTCGTCGTCATCACCCGCCCTCCAGCCATCATCTTCGCTGCCCAATCCATACTCATGGTTGATCCCCCAGTCCTCACCACCACTCTCTGCACCCTCCTCCTCCCCATCTGCCTCTTCCCCTTCACCTGCCACATCTCCCCCCTCCTCATCCTCTGCCTCCTCCCCTCCTTCCTCCTCCTCTTCATCAACCGCCACTTCCTCTCCCTCCTCCTCGTCCTCCTTGTTCTCTCTTCCACGAAGGCCCCTCCTGTCTCGCCATGGGAGCGAAGGACACTCACTGATATCAAACTCACGCAACGTTGGCATTCTCCGGATAGAAGATGGCACCCGAACCAGCTTGTTGCACGCAGTAACTAGCAGCACCTGTAGCTTAGGCAGCTTAGCAAATGACTCAGGCAAGCTGCGGACCTGCTTCAGCCCGAGCAGCACCAACTCTTGGAGGGAAGACAGCTCCCAGAAATTTCCTGGAAATTTTGAGATCCCAAGCTTGATGAGCGTACAGAACTGTAGCTTGGACAGATTTGCGAAAGATCGTGGAAGTTTCATCAGCGTGTAGCAGTCAATAATCTCCAGAGTCTCAAGCATTTTCAGCTGCCCAAAAGACTCGAGCAGCTGCCGTATTGTATCGAGGCAAACCAGCTGCAAGACACGCAGCCCTGCCAGCCCCCCAAAGGTCTCAGGCAACACCTCCAACCTTACAGCTGAATATATCCGTAGCCTTTTCAGGCGCGAAAGTTGACAGATGGCTTCGGGGAGTGATGTAAGGTAGTACATATCTAGGAGCTTCAGCTTCGTGAGAGAGGAGAGCTGGCCAAGGGACGGACCAAGGGTCTGGTAAGGAAGGGACTTCAACTTGAGACTCTTGAGGGATGGAAATAGTACCCTGCTGGTGCTGCTGCTGGCGATGCTCCTGCCGGAGCTGCTGGCGGTGCTGTTGGAGCGTGCAGAAGAACCCCTGGCAGTACGTTTCAGCACGACCTCATCCCCTAGCAGCGCGCCAACCCCATCACAACACCCGCACCTCCAACAGCCGCACTCAGGGCAGCTCAGCAAGCGACGCAGGGAGACACTTCAGGCCGTCCATCCTTGCGATCTTGACCACCTCGAGCGCCTCCAGCCGTCCGATTTCCCCGGGAAGGACCGTTACCTTAGGGCATCCTATCACTTCAAGTCTGGTGAGTGAAAAGACGCCAGAGAAGGAAGCATGAAGGGCGGATAGTTCTGGAATGTCATGTGTCAAAATGTCATTGTTCTCTAGCCTGTAGTGGGGTACTCTATAGCGAGTACAACCCCTTAGGGTTTCCTATATGTATCCTGCTGCTTTCTAGTGAAGCCCTCTTCTTTCTTCTAAACTTTCTCATGCTATCAGAGCAGGTCGATCCCCTTGGATCGATCCTGTGGGTGGGCTCACCACCTCGTTGCTTCCGCTGCAACTGCTACTGCTACTCTCTGTGCCGCACGCCCCGTGGCGTGCGGCAGTTTTTTCTTCCCGCCGTGCGCCCCGAGGTGTGCGGCGGTTTTCTGCCCGCCGTGCGCCCCGAGGCGCGCGGCGGTTCTCTGCCCGCTGTGCGCCCCGAGGCACGCGGCGGGCTGCTGCCCCGTCCCTCGGCGCGTCGCCCTCGGGAGGCGTTGCGACGGGCGACGGGGACCCGCGCGTCGCCCCCCGTCGCCCGTCGTGGCCTGCGCGCGGCCCGTACAAGCAGCGCGCGGCCCGTACGGGCTGCGCCGGGACCGGCCTCGCCCCGGCCATGCTGCGTCGCCCGTCGCGGCGCACCGAGGGCACGTGCACCGCCCCCCCCCCCCCCCCCCCCCCCCCCCCCCCCCTTTTTCCCATCGCCCGTCGCGACTCCCTCGGGGACCTGGGGGAGGGGGGCGAGCGCCGCCCCTTCTACCGCCTGTTTTGGCGCCCTGGGAGGCCGCGCGTCGGTCCCCCCCCCCCCCTCCCCCGTAACCTCCCTACCCACCATCCCGCCCTGCCAGTATTAGGGTTTGAGGGGTGGCAAGTAGGGGGTGGCGAGTATGGGGGTGGAAGTTGTGCATTCCTCCCTTTGCTCCTCCTCCTCCTTCGTCTCCCACTGCTGCAGGTGTCGCTGAGGGGGGTGGATGAGTGGGAGACTGGGGTTTAGGGTTTAAGGGGGGTGCGTGTGAGTGGAGCTAGGGTTTGAGCAGTGGGCGTGTGCCGAGAGTGTGGGGCAGTTGGGGGAGGTTGAGTGGAGGCAGCGGTCTTGTCGTCAGCAGCAGCAGCAGTCCGGAGGCTACAATCTCCGGTAGTCGCCAGCCGCTCGTGGGTCCGTTGCTCATCTGCCGCTACTATTAGCCGCGGGGCCAGTTACTCCAGTAGTCCGGAGCGCTGTTCCGGTAGCCACTGAGCCAGCAGCTCGTCTGTTTGTCTGCGGCGTCAGCAGTCGCCTCCCATCTTCTCTTCCCCGCAGCTCCTCCTCCTCCTCACTGGTCCGCTGTGATTAGCTCTAGCTTTGCTCATAATTGTGAACTTATAAACTGTTGCTTCTTGTACTTGTGCTCAGAATGTGTGGTGACATTGTGATCCACCCTGAGCTTGTTCTATGCCTGCTTGCTCTGCTGATTACACCCCACTTTGGCTATGGGGGTGTGTCAGAATGTCATTGTTCTCTAGCCTGCAGTGGGGTACTCTATAGCGAGTACAACCCCTTAGGGTTTCCTATATGTATCCTGCTGCTTTCTAGTGAAGCCCTCTTCTTTCTTCTAAACTTTCTCATCATGAAGCACCAGCTCTTTGAGGCTTTTCAAGCAGCAAAAGCCGTCTAGCAGGGCGCATTCGAAGCGTTTAGCTTCCATGATCTTGAGGGTTTCGAGGGAGGTCAGGGCGGAGAAGGATGGAGGGAGACGGGTGAGAGATGAGCAGAATTCCATATGCAGATAGCGCAAACGCTGCATACCGTTCCCCATTTCATCTGGCAGAACACTGAAACTAGGACAATTGTTAATCTCCAGGTGCTCGAGAGAAGATAGCTGGGATAGGGAGTCCGGAAGTTCCTGCAGCAGCCAGCACTCCAGAATTTTCAGCTCCTGGAGAGCCGTCATCTGCCCGAAAGATTTAGGCAGGCGTGTGAGCTCGCGAAGGCTGTTCAGGCGCAGCTTTTCAAGAGCATTCAGCTGCCCCAAGTCCGCGGGCAGAGAACGCAGGTTGTAGAGATTATCTAAGGCGAGCTCTTGGAGCGTGGTAAGCAGAGCAATGGAATCAAGAAGCATTGCGAGCTCCTTCAGGTCTAGCACGAGTGTGTGGAGCTTTGACAAATGCCCAATCTCGTCAGGTAGAACTGATAGCCGCGGCATGTCAAGGGTTAGATTGGTGAGTGAAGGCAGGCGGAAAAGGGACTCGGGCAGAGACGTGATATCACTGCAGCATTTGACTACTAGTGTCTTAAAGTGCCACAGATGCTCAAGAGCCTCCATTAGGTCGAACATTCCCGTCACCTCTTCCAAAATTAGGGTTTCAAGCCTCCACAGTCGAGGAAAGTAGATGGGTGGCGGCAGAAGGAACTTGCAGTGTCGAATCTCCAGGACGGTAAGAGAAGAAAGCTTGGTGAGAAAAGCCGGCAGCTGCAGCGCCGAGCATTGCATCATGGATAAAAGGTTCAGACTGGCAAGTTGGCCGAAAGATTCCGGAAGCGAGGCCAGGGAGCCGCAACCGTGCAACTTGAGCGACGTTAAGGAAACCAAATTGCCGAAATCCCGAGGCAAAGCCGCCAGATCGTAAGTGTGCAGCTCGAGGTTTCTGAGAGACTGCAACCAGGTGAATGTGTCGGGAAGTTGTGTGACGCTGGCCCTGAGGTTTAAGCTCCTGAGCAGAGTGAGTCGGTCGATCGACGGCGGAATTGTAGCACGCCGCGAACAGTCTAAGTAGAGATCCTCCAGCAGAGTACACCCCTCAAACAGAAACTCTATGCCTTTCTCAGTTACTACTGCGTGTCTGTATTCGCGTCCCATCGATTCAACACGAAGCTCGGTCAGATGAGGACACACGTCAGCGAGGCGAGAGAATAACGAGTTGAAGGCTGGGGTGAGGCTGCCATAGGAAAGAACTAGCTTCTTGAGGTTAGGAAACGAGGAAAGCAGCTGAACGAGCCGATGCGGATCAATACGGAGGTTCTTGGGCAAGCGGAGCTCCTGCTGCAAGCGGTACGCAATGTGTTGCCATTGCTTGCTGACACGTGCATGCTCCAGGTGGCCATCAGGCCTAACAAGAAAATGCAGGATCCGAGAGAGAAGCTCCTCTGGTATCCGTTGGATAGGCGACCCGAATGCCATCTTGAAACGCTTGAGTAACAAGACTATGTCTGCTCGTTGAAAAGGTATGCGTTTCTTGAAAGTTTAAAGCCCAAGACCTGAATTACTCAACGGAAGTCAACGCCAAAAAACTAGGTTCGGAAGAGGTTCGGTTTGGTTGCGAAACCCTTTCACTCGCGAAACCAGTTTGCAACAAAGTTGTGTCGCTTGGAAGAAGACCTCTTATGAATGGTGTGCTTCCCACAACCAGAGTTGAGCGTGCCTACCAAACTGTGCACACTTTGACAATCCTAGCAGCAGACTAAAACTAGGCATAATATAGAATACGTGTAGGCAAGGCGTAGCCGTTGACTCTAGAGCGATCAAGGCGCGATGCGATGGTGTGTGGTGCGGAATGTGAGTTCGAAGCGTAAGGATATTGAGTGGCGTGCGATGAGATATGGTGTAAAAATGCAGGTTTCGCATAACCCTCACGTTCGGCCAAGCGTAACCATCCCTCGCCCTCGCTTTCCTTCACCCGGGTCCCACGCTTCCTTTGTCCATCGCCCGCGTCGTCGCCTTCGCTTCCGCAGCCCATCGCATTCGCGGCCCCATCCCGTCGCCTTCGCTTCCCCCGCCCGTCGTCGCCTTCGCTTTCGGATGACCGTTGCCTTCTCTTATCCCGCCCGTCGCCTTCGCTTCTCCCCCCTGTTGCCTTCGATTTCCCCGCACGTCGCCTTCGCTTCCCCCGCGCGGAGCCTTCGCTTCCCCCGCGCGGAGCCTTTGCTTCCCCGCGCGGAGCCTTCGCTTCCCCTGCACGGAGCTTGGGGAGGGAGGAGTGGGCAGTGATGTTGGGCAGCTTCCCCGAGGACGAGGCGTGTCTGGGGGGGGACAGGCGGGGGAGGGAGGGGGAGAGGGAGGGCACGCGAGGGGGGGGCGGGGAGTGTTGGAGCGGAGTGAGAGCTACGACTCTCTGCTGTCAGACATCAGCCGCGTCAGCTCCCTCGCTGAGAGGCGGAGGAGGAGGCAGAGGGGGAGGGGGAGGGGGAGTGGGAGGCGCGCTAGCCATGCCCTTGCTCGTGGGCATGGGCACGGGTGGCGGTGGTGCGATGGAGGGTGCCTCGGGAGTGTACTGGGCGACGGACGGGAGCAGCAGCATGGGCGGCGGTGGTGCGTCGTCGGGTGCGTTCCTTGCAGTGCAAGGCATGGGGGGCAGCAGCAGCCCCATGGGCGGTCAGCAGCAGGGGGGGATTTCCAGCAGCACGGGAGGGTAACCCTCCGCCCGGCTCTATCCCCCCCTCCTCTGACTCGGCGGTCACGCTGGCGCCTGCAAGGGCCAGGCTGGTGTTCTCTCAATCCACCTTCTCCCCGCCCTCTCCTGCCTTCACCATTGGCGCCTCGCCCCCGCCTCCTGCACTCACTCTCACTGCTGCGCCTGCTGCTCCTGCTGCCGCCGCTGCTCCCGTTTCTCCAGCTGCAGGCACAGGTGTCGGAGGCAGTGCTGCTGCTGGTGCGTCCACCCTGCGCAGCCTGGTGGGTCTGCGAACACTACACCACTCGTTCTATCAAACCGTTCCCGCCAAAACATTCCACGATATTCGAAAATCGGATGGCGACTACCGGCGCGCTTTGCGAATTCCCTTCCTGGTTCTGCGAGATTCGTGCGCCCTCCATTCGCGTCGTTGTGCACGTACTGAGACAGCGACCACACTGTACTCGATAGTGGGACCGAACAACATTGGCCCTATGGACAACATACAAGCGCATCATGGCGACACTAGGCATATACGTACTTCAAAACTGGTTAACACTGGGCAGCGCAAGGAAGTTGGTACACCAATGCAGTGCTGCAGCTGCAGTGCAATGCTGCCACAATGCCATTGCTGGCTTTTGACTGAGTATAACCGTAAGCCTCCGGATAGAAGCGCAGGCCTCAGATAAGCGCCGGCGCTTATAAAAGGATGAGGGCGCTTATATCCGGTCCTCGATTATAAGCGCACCCCTGAAGGCTTACGGATTATAAGCGCCACCCTCTGTAATAGTTTTCATATTTGTACTGGAAACGCTGTAACGAAACACAATATTGCATCCCCACATTCAGAATTTCGAAACCCTTCCCCTTAGCGTCCAGTCAGAATGAGTTGTCATGGGGTCAATCTGACTCATTCTGACTGTGTGTGTTGGCAGGGAATCTCAGCCACTGCCGATTTACGCGAAATTCACATTCGATGTCCTCTACAATATCGATTCGATTCAAATCGTAAGGACGAGATGAACACTTTAGTGTAAAAGAACTAGATTTCATACATGTATACATAAGTCCTGATAACTAAAAAAGGCTCTGAAACAACTAAACCGAAAGGGTGTGTTTCAGAACGAGGCTCCAAATCCCTGGCTCTAGCTACAACATAATATCTACCATATGCCTATGAATCCTTGGGGATGCATTAGGAAAAATGAGTTGGGATACATGGGTCAGCCTGAAATCGCCACAGAAACACACATTTTGTAACCCAACACAATGAGCAATCCCATCCCATCCCAATCCCTATCCCACCTAAGAACACAACCTCCCATCCAACCATTGCAACCGCCTTCCCCTTGTTCTTTCTGTCCTTCACATCTCCCCACCCCTTCCGCCTCACCTATCCCACCATGCTAGTCGTCCTCCTCGTCACTCGGCCCCCAGCGCCCCACATCGTCGTTGTCAATGTCACTGTCCACGCCATACTCATGACAAATACTCCAATCCTCACCACTACTCTCTGCCTCCTCTGCTTCCTCCCTGTCCGCCACTTGCCCTTCAACCATCGCATCTCCTCCCTCCTCACCCTCCGCCTCCTCCCCTCCTTCCTCCTCTCCCTCGTCCTCCTCCTCATCCTCGCCAATTCCTGCAGGAATGCCCATCGTGTCTTGCTGTGACAGCAAAGGGCACTCAGTCACATCGAAGTCTCGCAACGTCGGCATTCTCCTTAGAGAACTTGGCAGCTTGGCCAGCTTCTTGCACGCAATCAGCAGTAGCATCTTTAGCTTTGGCAACTTGGTGAATGACTATGGCAAGCTGCGGACGTGCTTCAGCCCCAGGATCACCAACTCATGGAGGGAAGAGAACTTCCAGAAATTTTCAGGAAATGCTGAGATCGCAAGCTTGGTGAGGGTACAGGATTGTAACTTGGGAGGGCTTTCAGGGCTGCGAATCTTGCAGCTTCGCTTCTTACATATACGGCAGCTGATCGATTTTGCCACGAAAATTGAGGCCCTCCCAAGATTTTCAGGAAATGTTGAGATCGCAGTGCCTCAATTTTCGTGGCAAAATCGATCCGGAGCCTTTTTAGGCGCGAGAGCTGAGAGATGGAGTCAGGAAGAGAAACAAGGTTGTCCATTTCCGTGATTTTCAGCTTCGTGAGAGAGGAGAGCTGCCCAAGAGACGCACCAATGGAATGGAAAGGGAGAGACTTCATCTTGAGACTTCGAAGGGATGGAAGCAGTGCCCTGCTGCTGCTACTGGTGCCGGCGCTGCTGGTGCCGATGCTGCTGGTGGTGGTGTTCGCCAAAGAACCCCTTGCAGTGCGTTTCAGCACCACCTCATCCCCTAGCAACGCGCCAATCCCATCACATACCCGCACCTCCAACTCCCGCAGCTGGGGTAGCCTGGCAAGCTCCGCAGGGAGATGTTTCAAGCCGTCCATTCGTGCGATTTTGACCACCTCAAGCGACTCCAGCCGTCCGATCCCCTGTGGTAGGACCGTTACTTTAGGGCAATTGATCAATTCCAGGCTGGTGAGCGAGAAAACGCCAGAGAAGGAGGCAGGAAGGGCGGATAGGCGAGGCATGTCTTCAATCACCAGCTCCTTGAGGCTTTTCAAGCAGCAGAAGCCGTCTAGTAGGTTGCCTTTGATACTATTGGCTTCCGTGATTTTCAGGGTTTCAAGAGACGTCAGCGCGGAGAGGGATGGAGGGAGGTGGGTGAGAGATGAGCAGCCTTCCAGATGCAGAAAGTGCAGCCGCTGCATACCGTTCCCCATTTGATCTAGCAGCACCGTGAAACGCGGACAACACTTGATCTCCAGATGCTCGAGAGAAGATAGCTGGGATAGGGAGTCTGGGAGTTGCTGCAGCTGCATACACCCTAGAATTTTCAGCTCCCGAAGAGCTGTCAACTGCCCGAAGGATCCTGGCAACTCTGTGATCTGCCCAAGGCTGTAGAGGCGCAGCTTTTCAAGAACGATCAGCTGCCCGAAGTCCACGGGAAGAGACGGCAGCTTCTAAAGACTATCCAATGAAAGCTCCTGGAGCGTGGTTACCAGGCAGATGGAATCAGGAAGAGTTGTGAGCTCCCCCAACTCCAGCACGAGCGTCTGTAGCTTTGACAGCCTCCCAATATCGTTAGGTAGAACTGCCAGCCGTGGCATGTGGAGAGTGAGGCTGGTGAGTGAAGGCAAGCTGAAAAGAGACTCTGGCAAAGACGTGATATCGCTGCAGCACTTGATCACTAGAGTCTTGAGCCGCCACAGATGCTCAAGAGCCTCGATTAGCTCGCGCATTCCCGTCACTACTTCCAGATTGAGGGTTTCAAGCCTCCACAGTTGAGGAAAGTCGATGGGTGGCAGGACAAGGAACTTGCAATGTCGAATCTCCAGCACGGCGAGAGAAGAAAGATTGGCGAGAGAGGCTGGCAGCAGCAACGTCTTGCAATCATTCAAAGATAGAAGCTTCAGACTGGCAAGCTGACCGATAGATTCTGGAAGCGATGCCAGAGAGGAGCCGTGCACCTTGAGCGATGTTAGAAACACCAAATTACCGAAATCTGGAGGCAAAGCCTCCAGTCTGTAGGTGTTCAGCTCGAGGCTTCTGAGGGACTGCAACGAGGTGAACGAGTCGGGAAGTCGCGTGACGCTGGCCATGAGGTGTAAGTTCCTGAGCAATGTGAGTCGGTCGATCGACGGCGGAATGGCAGCACGCACCGAACACTCCAAATGGAGATCTTCCAGCCGAGTACACCTCTTGAATAGAAACTCCTGGCTCTTCTCGCTTAATCCTACGTATCCCTAGTCACGTCCCATCAATTCAACACGAAGTTCGGTCAGATGAGGACACACATCACCTAGGCGAGAGAATAATGAGTTAAAGGCAATGTTGAGGCTGCCATGTGAGAATGAGAACGAGAATGCATCAACTATGAATGAAGTGGGTACATATAGGAAACCCTAAATGGGTTGTACCCCCTATGGGATACCCCACTATAGCCTACACAACAGCATAAGCTATAACGTTCTGACACACCCCCATAGGGAAAGTGGGGGAGAACAAGGGGTCACAAGACCAGTCAAGGAAAGCAGAGCAAAGCAAGCTCAGGGTGGATCACAAAGTCACCACACAGTCTGAGCACAAGGTCAAGGCCACAAGGCCAGTTCACAAGCAAGAGTACACACATATATATAAAGCTAGACAAGCAAGAGCAGGTATACATATATGTGAGAGTACAAGCAAGGTCAAGAGGAGAGCAAGTGAGGCAAGACGGGCACAAGACCCAGCTAAGTGCAGAAGCGGAGATGATCACAAGGCGCAAGTGCCTTGGTGAAGACATCAGCAGTGTTGGCCTCAGAGGCCACGTACGCAAGCCGCAACTGTCCACGCTGCTGTAGCTCACGAGCAAGGTAGTAGCGGAGAGCAATGTGCTTCGTTCTGTGCTCCAGTCGCTGCTCTCGACACAAGGCCAGCATGGCCTTGTTGTCTACGTACATGACTGGAGGAGAACGAGGCGGCCCTCCAAGGTCGGTCAGCAGGTAGGTGAGCCAGCGAAGCTCCTGTGCAACCATGGCCCCGGCGTAGATCTCAGCCTCACAACTGGAGCCGAGAACAGAAGACGAGCAAGTAGCCCGCCACGGAACAGAGCCGGAACCAAGGCTGAAGGTGTAACCCTGTGACGACCGCTGCGTAGCCTGGTCGTCAGCCCAAGAAGCGTCCACGTGCCTAGTAAGGACCACTGGACTGCGCCCTCCAAGCACTAGCCCCATGCCCGACGTACTGCACAAGTAGCGCAACACCCTCTTCGCTGCAGCCATGTGCTCTGGTCGGTGTCTCCCAGGAGCAACATAGCGTGCGAGAATGCTAAGAGGGTATGCAAGGTGAGGACGTGTGCAGGTCATCAGGTACATGAGGCAGCCAACTAGCTCTGGGTACGGGCCACTCGACTCTACGGACTCATCCGAAGGCAGAGCTGAGAGCAAGTGGCGAGTAGGCAGAGGAGTGGCTTGAGGCAAGGAGTACGTGAAGCCGAAGCGCTGAAGGACCTGCTGCACCATGTGTGACTGAGTTAGGGTAATGGTGCGGCGTGCTCTGTCCCGGGTGATCTGCAAGCCAAGGTAGCTGCGCAGTTCACCCAGGTCTGTGCACGTGTGTCTCTTCTGCAGCTTGGACTTCACGTAGGCGAATCCAGGAGTGTCAGCTGTGGCGAAGACCAAGTCGTCGACGTACACGAGGATGTAGAACGGCGGCAAAGAGGTGTCGGTGCGCAGAAACAGCGACGGGTCAGCAATAGAAGGAGCAAAACCAAGAGCCGCAAGCGTAGTCCTCAGTGTGTTGTGCCACTCACGTGGCGCCTGGCGGAGACCGTAGACTGGACGCCGGAGACTCCTCTGGGTACCAGGAGGGAAAGACCTAGTGAAGCCAGGTGGGCGACGCAGCCAGATCTCCTCGTGCAGGCTGCCCTGCAAGAAAGCTGTGCTGAAGTCGAGAGAGTGCAGCTCGTAGTCACGGTGAGCAGCAACGTGCAGCAGTACCCAAAGAGTGGTCATCTTCGGGGTGGGGGAGAAGGTCTGAAAGTAGTCAACTCCCTGCCGCTGACTAAAGCCACGAGCCACGTAACGCGCCTTGAAGACAGGAGGAGAACCCGGCGGCCGCTTCACCCTGAAGATCCACATGCCATTGACGATGTTCGCCCCAGGAGGGGGGACAGCGTCAACGTAGGTGCTTGTGGACTTCCAGGAAGCCATCTCTGCATCCATAGCTGCCTGCCACTGAGAGGAATAGGGACCCTCTATCGCCTCCGCGTAAGAGCGCGGAGTCGGGATGTCAAGTGCATCCGGGTCTCCCTCAGGGGTAAGCAGTACGGACACGAGATGAGGTGAAGCAGCTGCCAGACACTGGAACTCCTCCTGCCTGTCCTCAAGGACGTCCGTGCCAAGGGCACACTCACCCCCGACGGACGGAGGACAGAAAGACTCAGACTCAGCGACAAGACTCGCAGCGTAGTCTAAGCGACAGCGAGCAGGAAAGTCGACGAGCTCAGCAACTAGAGTAGACGCAGCAGTAGACTCAAAGGAAGGGTCTGTGACAACAGTAGCAAGGAGACGCGTGATAGTAGGACTGGCAGCACGAAGAGAGTCCGACTCTGGGTCGGGAAGAGCAGGAAGAGAGGACTCAGGAGGAGAAGGCAAAGGGGCACGCAGAGGAGAAGTGGACGGACGCAGAGACATCCGTTGCGTACCAGGGACAGGAGGAGGACGCTCACGCGAACTACGACCACTAGCGCGAGCAGGACGGATAGGCGACGTAGGGCGAGACGCAGGCTCACGACGCTCAGCAAGACCTCCAGTAGGACCAGTGTAGGGAGAAGGAGCAGGCAAAGGGGAGGTAGGCTGCAGCTGAAACTGTGGCTGGACAGGCTGCGGACACTCTAAGGGAGGAGGAGGACCAGCAGAAGGTGGAAGACCAAGAACCTGCTGCAGGAGTGGAACGAAGTACGGTCAAGGCCGCGTGGCGACGCCAGAAGTAGCAGGGACAGCACCATTACCCTAAGTAGGAGCACCCGCTCCAGCAGCACCTCCAGCAGCTCCAGAACCTCCAGCAGCACCAGGAGCACCTCCAGCAGGACCGCCAGCGGCAGTCTCAGCGCCAACACCCGCAGCAGCACCAGCTCTAGTCGAACCCGCAGGCCCAGCAGCTCCAGTACTACCAGTACGAGCACCTCCGGGACCCGCGACCGCAGCACCCTCAGCAGGCGAAGAACCTCCAGCACCAGCAGCACGAAGCCAGCGCCGGGCAAACCACTCGCGCACCTCCTCTGGAGAGAGTGGCTCCCGGCGAGACGAAGCACCCGGAGAACCTCCAGGTGGAGCACCTCGACACGCAGTACCCCCAAGCGTAGCACCCCCAGGCTCAGCACCCCCCGGCTCAGTAAGCCCTGGCTCAGCACCCCCAGGCTCAGCATCCCCAGACGTAGTACCCCCAGGCTCAGCACCCCCAGGCTCAACACCCCCAGACGCACCACCCCCAGGCCCCGCACCCCCACGTCCAGCAGCCCCAGGCTCAACACCCCCAGCGGCAGCACCCTCAGCAGCACCAGAGTCACCAGTGACCTCGACAGGCTCGACTGCGTCTGCCTGGGACACACCTGAAGGGGCAGGACCCTGAGGGGGCAGGGGGTCTACCTGAGGGGGACCTGGTACCAGGAAGAGTGGGGGTGGGGGGAGGGACGGAGTGCGGAAGGGGAAGAGGCGGTAGTAGGGGACCGACTCGTCAAACGTGACGTCCTGGGAGGACAGAACACGGCGAGAGGTGGGGTGGTAGAATTGCCACCCAAGCGCGTCAGGGGGGAACCCCAGGAAGACGCAAGGAGCAGCACGAGGGGACAGCTTGTCCGCAGACAAGTCGCGGACAAACGCCCGAGATCCCCAGACCCGGAACGCCGACGCATCGCCAACCTTCCCCGTCCACAGCAAGGCTGGGGAGGTCTCCGGCCTGGAGACCCTGGGGTGAAGGTTGATCTGATGCGCCGCGTACCTCACCGCAAACGGCCACAGAAAATGGGGGGCAGCCGCATGCATCATGGACTTACGAGCGACGTCCATGACCATGCCAATGCGGCGCTCATCAATCCCATTTTGCTGCGGTGAGTCCGGAAGCGTGAAGGTCTGACGGATGCCTCTTGCACGACAGAAGGCTCGCAGAAGGCCAGAGGAAAACTCTCTGCCTCTGTCCGAGTGCAGACGCAAAACAGGAAAGTCCGAGCCAAAGCGCTGCCTAAGCTGAAGACGAGCTGCGCGGATCCAGTCGATCAACACCTCAGTGACATCACCCTTGCTGCGCAAGGGGAAGACTGTGGTGTAACGCGAGTAGTCGTCAACAACGAGCAGAAAGTAGCGCTCGTTACCCTGTCCACGGACGCGGGCTGGGCCCCACACGTCCATGTGAAGCGTCTGCAACGGGGCCTCTGTCGGATGAAACTGGGAGGAGTGGGGGGCAGCCCGCTGGCGCCCCTCGACACAGGGGACACAGGCAGGGCCAGGGCCCTGAGGAAGGGGAGGGAGGGACCGGGGGGGACTTGACACAAGAAGACGGAAGGCCATGCCTCTGAGCCGAAGCAGAGAGGGGTGGCCAAGGCGGTGGTGCCAGAGGAGAGTCTCGTGAGACAGGAGACGACTCGAACAGGGGGCAGACTCAGGACCAGACCTGGACGCCGCAGCAAACACCTGACCCGACGCAGCTACCCTACCAGACTCAACAACTGGAGAGGACGCAGTGGTCAGTGTGTACAGGCTCGACCCCGGCTGACGGGTAAACGTAGCTAGGTGCCGGCGTGTGCTAGCCTCAGTACAGTGCGTCACCCGCTGACGCGCAGGAGTGAACTGGTGTACTCCCCCATCCTGTAGGTCAGCACCACTCACCAGGTTCGTCGAGAACGAGGGGAGGTAGAGACCAGACAGGGTGCAAGAGGGAGCCGCCGGACAAGGGAGGACTGTGGAGAAGCGAGACAGGAAAGGACCCCCAGAGGGGTCAGCCAGAGACACCGCAACCGGCCGACTAAGCGGCGTGAGTGTGGTGCAGTCTCGAAAGAAGGAGCGAGACGCCCCAGAGTCAAGGGTGAAGGTGAGGGAGGCCGAAGCCGACGTAGTACCTGAGAGCGCAGACTCACCAGTACCTGAGGACGCAGACACACCAGCACCTAGAGCAGTAGCGTCGCACGCACCTAGGGCAGCAGCCGTACCAGTACCTAAAGTAGCAGTCTCAATGCCCGGATCGGGCGGGAAACACCGGTAACAGTCACCCTCATCACTAATAGACACAGCATGCATGGCAGCAAGAATAGCATCAGAGTCAAGATCAAAGATGGCCACACCCGCCCTAGACAGCTCGCCCCAGCGAGGGATCTCTGAGGCCTCCGGGAACTGGTGACGCCACGCGTCCGTCAGGCGGCCAAAGCAGCGCTGGGTGGGGTGCGCACCCCCACACTGCTCACCCGCACGGTCGCTGGTGCGCAGGACGTAGGTGCACGGACCAAAACCCCCACCCCGCTGGCGTGCAGTGTACCAGTCACGGAGCTACTGAGGTGACAGGGTCTCACGACCGCGCTGCTGCTGCTGGCGCGAGCCACCACCAGAGCCACTCCTCTGCGACGACCTGCGACCAGCTCCACCGCCACCCCCACCGCCTCCGCCTCTTCCGCTGCCTCCACCACTGCCGCCGCCTCCGCCGCCGCCGCCGCCTCCACCGCCGCCTCCTCCGCGACCTCCGCTCCCACCGCCACCGCCGCCGCCGCCTCCGCCTCCACTACCGCCACCGACCCCTCCACCCCCACCTCCACTCCCACCGCCACCCCCACTCCCCCCACCGCCTCCTCCTCCACCTCCACCGCCCGCTCCTCCAGCTCCCTTGCCCCCCTTGCCCTTGCCAGGGCGGCGTCTCCCGCTAGGGGCAGACGCCGCGCCGACCGACTCAAGACCAAGGAGGTCGGCCGCAGCAGCAGAGGCAACAGATGGCAGCACGGGGGAGGGAGAACACCCCTCAAAGATGGGGGTGCGCGGGTCACCTCGAGAGGCTCCTACAGCGACGATGCTCTTCTCTATCGCTAGGAGGGCCTTTTCGAGGAGGTCTACGGTGAGCGTGGTGGGACAGACTGAGAGAAAGTGGTCCCTGACTACGCGAAGGGAGTCAGGGAGGTGAGTGACTAGGAAGTACAGAGTTATGTACATGGGGGGGGGGGGTTCGCGGCGTAGAAGTCAGCAGGGAGTGCAGCGCGGTAGCGAGTGTCACTAGTGCGGAGGTGCGTGATGAGGTCAGCTACGGTAGGAAAAGCAGCAAGGTCAGGGAAGAGGTACGGCAGCATGAGACGGCTCAGTGCAGCAGTGGCAGGGGAGGAGTAGCGCGCGACTACAGCGTCGTACAAGGTCTGAGCACTCTTGTACTGGCTAAAGTGCGCACGCTTGGAGGTAGGGAGGTGGCGACGCACAGCAAGACGTGCAGCAGCGTCGCGCGTGGCCCACTGGGAGCGAACAGTGGCGTCAGCATTAGCAGCAGGGGCAGGGGAAGCGCCAAAGGTAAGGTCAAAGAGAGAGAGGCCGTCTGCCCTATCGCACTGTAGGAACAGCTGCATGTCGTCGACCCAGACCTCAAAGTCTACGGCTCGTCCCTCAGCGTCAAACGTGAGGACACTAGGGGTAGCCATGACTACAGATGACGAGCAGTGTAAACAGTAGGGGAGGGAGGGCCGTGCAGGGGGAGAAGGCACTGTGCTCACCAGACAGGGCAGCTCTGACGGTCCAGCTGCTGGGTGGCTCGGTGGCAGAGCGGCTCGGCGGCAGGGCGGCTCGGCGGCAGGGCGGCTCGGCGGCAGGGCGGCTCGGCTGCAGGGCGGCTCGGCGGCAGGGCGGCTCGGCGGCTGGGCGGCTCGGCTTCCGGGCGGCTCGGCGGCAGGGCGGCTCGGCGGCAGGGCGGCTCGGCGGCAGGGCGGCTCGGCTTCCTGGCGGCTCGGCGGCAGGGCGGCTCTCGTGCAGGGCGGCGCAGCGGCGCTCTCGTGTAGGTATGGCGGCGGGTGAGCCGCAGTTAGGGCGGCGGGTGCGCCGCAGGTAGGTCGGCGGGTGGCCGCAGGTAGGGCGGCGGGTGCGCCACAGGTAGGTTGGCAGGTGGCCGCAGGTAGGGCGGCGGGTGCGCCACAGGTAGGTCGGCGGGTGGCCGCAAGTAGGGCGGCGGGTAGGGCCGCAGGTAGGTCGGCGGAGGGCTGTAGGTAAGGGCGGCGACGGGCCGTAGGTAAGGGCGGCGACGGGCCGTAGGTAGGGCGGCGACGGGCCGTAGGTAAGGGCGGCGACGAGCCGGTGCAAGGGCGGCGCGAAGCCGCGGGTAAGGGCAGCGACGGGCCGGGGCGGCGCGAAGCTGTAGGTAAGGGCGGCGACGGGCCGGGGCGGCTCGAAGCCGCAGGTAGAGGCGGCGCGAAGCCGCGGGAAGGGCGGCGACGGGCCTGGGCGACGCGAGGCTGCAGGTAGGGGCGGCGCGAAGCCGCCGGTGAGGGCGGCGCAAAGCCGCGGGTAAGGGCGGCGACGGGCCGGGAAAAAGGCGGCGCGCCGCAGCCGCTAGGGCGGCTCGACGCGACCGTAAGGGCGGCGCGACGGGCCGCTAGGTGCGACTCGACGGGCCGCTAAAAAAAAGGCAGGCGCGACTCGAGGCGCGCTTCGGTGGGCCCAAGGAACAGTCCCTAGGAGGGGACCTGCTCTGATACCATGTGAGAATGAGAACGAGAATGCATCAACTATGAATGAAGTGGGTACATATAGGAAACCCTAAATGGGTTGTACCCCCTATAGGATACCCCACTATAGCCTACACAACAGCATAAGCTATAACATTCTGACATGCCATGGGAAAGGACTAGCTTTTTTAGATCAGGGAACGAGAACAGCAGTTGAAGGAGATGATGCGGATCCATACGGAGGTTGTAAAGCAAGTGGAGCTCATTTTGCAAGCGGTACGCAATGTGATGCCATTGCTTGCTGACACGTGCGTGCTCCAGCTGACCATCAAGTCGAACCAGAAGACGCAGGACCTTAGAAAGAAGCTCCTCCGGTAGCCGTTGGATAGGCGATCCGACTGGCATCTTGAAACGTTTAAATAACAAGAGACTAATGGTTGTTCCTTGAAGAAGTCTGCCTTTCCTACAAGTTTACACAACGAACAAGCTTGGATAGTGAGACTATAAACGAAGCTACACTAGAGAGACCACAAGAAGTGTCGTGAGGAGGGTTGGTCGAGGCATTACATTTGCTATCTCTGAGCAAGAAGGCCCTCGGGCTTGCCAGTGGCACCGTACTGCATCGCTTGATTATCCAAACCTTTCCCGCCAAATATTCCACTAACGAATGTTCCCCGAAATCGGACGGCTCGTTTTTTTCTATTCCCGGCTGTGACTGTCGTGCGCCCTCCGTTCGCGTTTGAAATGTGGACGTGGAGCGACAATGAGCGGATTGTACCCGTTTGTCGGTACGGATACAGAAGTTAAATAATCCCGTGTTGTAAAAGTGCAGTATTATATGCAGGGCCTCAGATTCACTTTTAGGGTCGTCACCCCATCAGGGTCCCCCTGCGTGTTAACTCTGATTTTCAGTGTCCCAAAAAACAAAAAGGCTGAAATGTCAGTGTTGCGAATTTTTAAAGCCTGATGCATCAGTGTACCTTTTGCAAAAACACTGACTCTATTTTAAAGTCCTACTTCTAGATGGCAGAAACGGTGGATGGGCTGGGCGGCGTGGAGGATGGCACGGTGCTTGCCAGCACAGCCCAAACCTAACGCATCGCACATGATGGGTACGGGGCAGGAACCTTGGCAGCCCACCAGCACCACATGTATGCCACATTCGGATTCGCCAACATTGGATGCTGCAGCGAAACGGCCCAATGGTGTGAGGCAAAAAAACACCTCTCAACGTGAACCTAAGGCAACATTTCTAAGGGTGGTCCCGCCACGGGGTGCCTACATACAGGGAATCTGAGATTCCCTGCAATTGCGGTCGAGGTGACATGTCACAGGTGAGATTCGCTTTCAGTGTCGGTTTCGTTACAACGTAGTGGCATCAGTGTACAACGGGAAAAAAAACCTGAAATATCAGTGTGGCCAATAAAAAAACGCTGAAAGATCAGTCCTACTAAAATCCCAACTCTGACTTTTCAGGGTAGCTTGAAAATCGGCTGCCAAAATCAGGAATTTCAGGGTTTTTTTCCTGATATCTGAGGCCCTGATTATATGCGTGGTGAAAACAGCACACCGCATTTTGGTCGTGTGTCACCTAGGTGGTACCTTCTCCCATATTCAGCTCAGGACTTGGCAGAAGGAATTTAGACCAGAAATCACAGCAACGGTGTGCCTGCTACGGTAGTTTTGCTGAAAAACAGTAGCAAACCACAACAATTGAAACACTGCTCTGATGCCACAATGCAATTGTGGGCTTGAAACGACTATACACAAACACACCACAGCATAACATTTATACACCCCACCCCAGAAGTCCTGATCTTACTGAAGCCACTAATCCTAATGGTTTGTTTCTGCATGAGGCTCCAAATCCTTTGCTCTAGCCACAACATATATTCTACCATATGCCCATGAATGCTTTGGATTACTTGGAGATGCCTGCATGTAAAAGGGGAATGGAATGCATGTGTCAGGAAGCGACCCAGAGTTGCACATCACTCAATTCGTCAACCAGCGCAATGAATCAAAGCAGAGACGGGCAAAAGAGATTCACCTCGACGAACGCATGAAAGACCAGCGGCTGGCCGCAGACATGACATTCAGCCTTGTGTCGATGCCTGTTCCCCTCTTCCAGGGTAACAAACGAGTAAACCTCCTCTCCACAGAGTGGGCAGTTGCCTTGTAGTGCCACCATCTTGCCCTGGCTTATGCGCTGCAACGGGCGGGCTGTGGGATGGGTAAGCAGGGCAAGCATCAATGAGGTCCATGATTACGATGAAGCAGAGTGCATCTCATGGCGAAACGGGAAGCCCGGGTGGAAAAGGCGCCTCCCAGAAGGCATGAACCGTGCCAGTGGCGCGAGAAGGGTAAAGCCAGATGCATATAAGCCTGGGATAATCGGAAAAACATATCAGGGAGAGTAAAAAAGCGCACATACCCACACAGCAAACCAAAGCAGAGCCATGGCCTACCTGCAGCAGACGCAAGAACCGCCCCGAGCAGGAAGCAGATGCCAGCTGCCATGGCTCCGTCCAGCTGCCACAGCGGGCTCGAGAGGATAGGGTTTTCCACCCTATCCACACCACTCGCGCCCATCACAACAACCAGAAACACCAGTGGCATTGCTGTCAGCGCTGCTCCCACTGCTAGAATCATTGTCCACATGGTTGACAGCGCTGCCATTTGGGAAGGGTCCGCCTGATTTGATGGCATGGAAAGGGGAAATGCCAGAACGGGAAGGTCACGAAATGCAGTGTCTTATTGCGGTAATCCTTGTGGAATCAAGAAAGGCCAACGAAATCCGGCCAGCAGCCAAGGGAGAGCATACTAAAGAAGCTGGAGATAATACGAGAACAACCATCAACACAGCCCACAGCCAAACTTTGGCACCGGAGTGGTAGTAGAGAGTCCGCGCATGCTGCTAATGAATAATCTGGGGCCAATTGTGCCATACCTCGGCATCAGAGTAGCAGTAAAGGGCTCGTATGCTGCAGCGTGGGTACTTCTTGACCAGCGCAGAGTGGAACCACCGCAACCGGCGCTGCATGGAGAACAAACACGAATGAGCTGACGTTTCCTGGAATCCAAGACCACGACTCCAATAACAATCTTTACACGTACAACAATAATCAGGGGGAACCAAGGGGGGGCGACGGAGGGAGCAACGCCCCGGCTTTCAAGAGGACGGCGTGAGCGTACCTCAACCAGATCAAAAATGTCGTCTGATACCAATGGTTTCCCGCTGTAGTACGCATCCCGAGCCTGAGAAGATAGGCGATGGAAGCAACGGGATTCGGGAATGAGCTGACCTCAGGGAACGGGAGCACTACGAGCAACATGATTTCACTCACATGTGTTGCTTGCTTCTACCCATAAGGTTCTTGATGTAATTATTTCAATCGTAAGTGCAAATGTTACAAACATCAAGCGCTCAAGTGGTCATACCTGCGAATAAAACTGCTCAAGCTGCTCTCTCGTGGCGCTCTCTAACGGACCCAGGAACAAGCACGACGGCGCGTCGTTAGCTGAGGCTTCTCCTGATTGACTGGAATCGTTGTTACCCTCATGTGGAAACGCGTTCCAGGGCGCTAAGCTCGCATGTGTAACGTGAGATGTGAGATGAAACCGCTCAGTACCGCGTACTTGGATACTGTCGTTACGTAATCTTCGAACCCCTAAACTCCTGCGTGCTCTCCGCGTCAAATTACCAATGTCACGCGTTTTTCCACGACAGGAGAAAACGGGACTGCTGATTATCTTCGTCTCACAAGAACACACTACCGTTGATCTATGAGAGCCAAAATTGTATTTTCTCGTAATCGCAGCGCCATAATAACGTCCCGACCTTCCTACTAGACGTAGGGTGCTCATGGCCTCTGACGAGCTCCGAAGTTAACAGTATCGATTACCGCCTATTCTGGTTGACCTCTCCCTACAGCTCAGGCGTCCATCTGTAGACCTGCTTTCTGGTAGTGAGGCATGCTGTGACAGAGTAGAAAACTTCCAGGCCAAGCCTACACTGCTGGAAACATCCGACTGCTCAGACGCGGAAGTGTTGCTGTGAACCTGGCAGTTAGATGCAAGGCAGAGCACCGAACCCAACTGAACCGAGGAATCGTTGATGAGACTGAGCGAACGTACGTACGGTAGCCTCAGTCGGTGTTCGACGGTGGAGATGGTGGGAGGTTCTCTGGAGCCTGAGATCTGACGTCAACTTTTCTGATCAGACGGATTCAGGAACGATGTTTGCTTCTGTCGTCCATGTCACCAGTGGTGACGGTGACGTCGACCGCAACCTGTAGGTTCGGGAAACGAATGAGCTCATTCGTTTCTTGGCCAGCTGATTCGACGGTTCCAGTAAATTCAGCCACCACGTCACTAGTGTTTGACTCCACGAGAGAATGTGAACCAGGCAATGTGTTTGAATCAAGTACGCAATGGTGGAAGCTGCGGTGGATCTTTTTCCCAGGATGCTGGGCGCGGTGAGGAGACGCACAAGTGGCGAAATTCAGAAAAGGGCAAACATGGTGGGAAAACGGGCCACGACGACCCCCTAACAAGCGTCAAACCACAAAATGTACGCCACGTGGCCGAGGCAAGGCCGAATCTCAGTGGCCTGGGGGTGGAAACTACACTAACCACCCACCAATCAATCGAAGTCTACCTGCATTCCGCCTCTGTGTCCATTGCATCTGCTCGGTATAGAAATCCACGAGGTTTTCCTAACCTCTCAATCAAACACTCATCAGACAGTCTGATCTTTCAGTTCTACAGTTTCTTTAGCAAGGTCTATTTGATCCGCATCGTTCATAGTGATTTTCTGATCATCTACTTCAGCCTGCTAGACTCTCCGACAGCATCCATCATGGCCCTCGTAACCGTCTCCCTGCCAACCATTAAGGCCGTCTCCGCGCCCAGCCAGGAACTAGCAGGTCATGGAAAGAGTGAGCTCCTTAGCACGGTTAACAGGGTAACCCTGGCTGCACCCTCAAGAGGAGTGATAACGATGAAGAACCCGCATGAGGGGAAGGGTGTGTTCGCCCCTATTGTGGTCGTCGCGAAGAATGTCATTGGCCAAAAGCAGTTCAACCAGCTCCGAGGGAAAGGCATCGCTCTCCACTCACAAGTGAGTATTGCCGCCTAGTACGCCCATGGTGCCAACCCGGTATCAAATTGTATTCTAACGAGCCCCTTCGTCTTCTCTTTTCAGGTGATCACGGAGTTCTGCAAGTCCGTTGGAGCCCCTGCTCAACAGCGTCAGGGTTTGATCAGGCTGGCAAAGAAGAACGGCGAGAAGCTAGGTTTCCTTGCCTAATTAAATCGCCAAAAGTAGCCGCTAGCACACTTATCTTCCGCGATTTGTTGAAGGACATGATTTTCGCGGAGATCTTATAACGTAGCTTTTAGGCCCCCACCTATTGGTGGACTTGTAAATGTTACTCCCATTTATATTTTCAATCATGAAATAACCTTCCAGCGTATTTTTCGCGCACGCCTAGCCCAAAGCCATTCCCCCTCAGTGCCTCCACCTGAACGTAAGTTGTGTGGATTCATCTGGAGCAGCTGCTGGAATATGATAACATAATACTTCCGCTACGCACGTCAGCAGGCAGCTAGCTACACCAGCCCTAATACAGTCTCCAATGTCAATTACATCCACAGAAGGTGAAAATTTTGTGAGTCCGCATCTAATGACATGCTAATGATGAGACTACCAAAAGAGCAACAAGGATAAGATGCAGCAACGCTGCTGCTGATCAACCAACACAGATGCCTTGCGGTGCAACTGGTTCGGAAGAGCATCGGTGCACGACCACCACATCTCCTTGAAATGCCCAGTCCAGAGTAGAACTCTGGTGCTATCCAGTACTGCTCGACTGCTGGCAAAGATGTGATGTGTTGATATTGGTCGCAAAAATGAATAATTTTGCGTTCTACAAAACCAAAGTGAACTGGCAGTATGTTCGCACCCACAAACGGGTATGGTCTGGTCTCGGATGTGCCCTCCATGTGCACACATCCACGCAACAAGATGGTTCACAGATATCGCAGAGCGGGGAAGGGAGTTCACCAAACGGTGCCGTGTGTCGCCGTTCGTATTTCGCATATCTTCCTTGCGTTGGATAAATTGTAGGGAATGTTTTGCGTTGCAATGCGGTGTTAATGACAAACTCAACGTTTCTGCTGTGGTGAAATCGGAAATCAGTACCTCTCGGGAATATCCTCTTCATAACAATGATACTTGTGATCTGTCTGCTCTAGCTTCTTGACGTTTGACTAGTCTAGCTTGTTAGCCGTGTTAGCTTACGGGAAGACAAACTTAAATCGACGGAAAGCCATTCATTTCCTGTTATTCCCTCGTTTCAAGATGCCAGTCGGGTCGGCTATCCAACAGCTACCTGAGGAGGTGCTTTCTCAGATATTGAGTTTTCTTGTTAGACCTGATAGCCAGCTGGAGCACGCACGTGTTAGCAAGCGATGGCATCGCATTGCGTACCGCGTGCAACATGAGCTCAAATTGCCTTACCACCTCCATATGGAACCGCGTCTCCTCCTTCAACTCCTGTCGTCGTTCCCTAACCTAAAAAAACTCTTTCTTTCTCACGGCAGCCTCACCTCAGCCTCGGACTTTTTTGTCTCTCACCTCGCTGACGTGTGTCCTCATCTGGTCGAGCTTGGTGTTGGAACGATGGGAAGTGAGTACAGTCGCACAGCTATAAGTGAGAAAGGCTTGAAGTTTCTGTTTGAGGGGTGTACGCGGCTGGAAGATCTCTATGTGGAGTGTGAGGAGCATGCTGCCATTCCTCCATCGATCGACCGACTCACGTTTCTCAAGAACCTGGACCTTATAGCAACCGTCACGCGGTTTCCCGACACACTGACCTCGCTACAGTCTCTCAGGAGCCTTATGGTGAACACTAATAAGCTCGAAGCTTTGCCCGCAGAATTCGGCAATCTGGTTTCCTTAACGTCGCTCTCGTTACACAGTTGCTGCTGCCTGGCGTCGCTTCCAGAATCTATCGGTCAACTTGCCAGCCTGAACCTGCTATCCTTGCGCCACTGCTCGAGATTGCAGCTGCCGGCCTCTCTCACCAAGCTTTCTTCCCTCACCGTCCTGAAATTTGAGCAGTGCAACATTGTTCACCCGTCACCCGTTATCTTTTCTCGACTGCGTGCGCTCGAAACCCTCATACTGGAAGATGCGACGGGATTGCACGAGCTAATCGAGGCTCTTGAGCATATGTGGCGACTCAAGACTCTAGCTATCAAGCGCTGCAGCGATATCACGTCTCTGCCCGAGTCTCTTTTCCACCTGCCGTCACTCACCAGCCTCGCTCTTGAAATGCCACAACTTTCACTACTACCTGACGATATTGGGCAGTTATCAAAGCTACACACACTTTTGCTGGATCTGAGGAAGCTCACAAGCCTTCCTGACCCCGTCGCTCAGATTACTACGCTCCAAGAGCTTTCCTTCGACAATCTTTGGAAGGTTCCGTCTTTGCCCGAGGATTTCGGGCAGCTGATTGTTCTTAAAAAGCTGCGCCTTAACAGCCTTCGCCAGCTCACACGCCTGCCTGAATCCCTCGGGCAGCTGAAAGCTCTCCGGGAGCTGAAAATAGTGGAGTGTGAGAAGCTGCAGCAGCTCCCGGGCTCCCTTTCCCAGCTCTCTTCTCTCGAGCACCTGGAGATTACCGCTTGTTGGGACCTCACGGTGCTGCCAGATGAAATGGGGAACGGTATGCAGCGTTTGCGCTATCTGCATCTGGAACACTGCTCATCCTTCACCCACCTCCCTCCATCCTTCTCCGCCCTGACATCTCTCGAAACCCTTAAGATTATGGAAGCTAATTGCTTCAGAGGCAACCTACTAGACGGCTTCTGCTGCTTGAAAAGCCTCAAGGAGCTGGTGCTTCGAGGGATGCCTCGCTTATCTGCGCTTCCTGCCTCCTTCTCAGGCGTCTTTTCACTCGCCAGCCTTGAAGTGATACGTTGCCCTAAAGTAACGGTCCTGCCTGAGGGGATCGGACGGCTGGAGTCGCTCGAGGTGGTCAGGATCTCACTGATGGACGGCTTGAAAGAACTCCCTGCTGAGCTTGTTAGGCTGCCACGGCTGCGGGTGCTCGAAGTGCGGGGATGCAGTGAAGTTGGTGCGCTTCTAGGGGATGAGATAGTGCTCAGACGCACTGCCAGGGGTTCTTCAATGCTCTCCAACAGAACTGCCAGCAGCAGCACCAGCGAATCACTGCTTCCATCCCTCCAGAATCTCAGGATAAAAGCTCTTTCTTTCCATTCCATTGGTCCATCCCTTGGCCAGCTCTCCTCCCTAACGCAGCTGAAGCTCCTAGAGATGCACAGCCTTATGTCACTCCCTGACTCCATCTCTCAACTCTCGCGCCTGAAAAGGCTCCGGATCGATTCTGCCTTGAGGATGGAGGCTCTGCCGGAAGCTTTTTGGGGACTTTCAAGGCTGCGGGTGTTACTGCTGGTTCGTCTATGTACAGTACGGCAGCTGCCGGAGTCTATTGGGCAGCTGAAGATGCTTGAGAGGCTTGAGATTATTGACTGCTACAAGCTGATGCAACTTCCAGGTTCCTTTGCGAATCTGGCCAAGTTACAATCCTGTACTCTCACCAAGCTTGGGATATCAGGATTTCCAGAAGATTTCTGGAAGCTGTCTTCCCTCCAGGAGTTGGTGCTCCTGGGGCTGAAGCACGTCCGCAGCTTGCCAGAGTCGTTCTCTATGCTGCCTCAACTAGTGGTGCTGCGGGTGATTGCGTGCAACAAGCTGGTTCGGCTGCCGCCTTCTATCCGGAGAATCCCGACGCTGCGTGAATACTTTGTCAGTGAGTGCCCTTTGCTCTCCCGGCGAGACAGGAGGGTCCCTGCAAGGGTAGGCGAGGAGGATGGGGGGGAGGGAGGGGGAGTGGCGGTTGATGAGGGAGAGGAGGAAGGAGGGGAGGATTTAGACGGGGAGGAGGGAGGAGATGCAGCGGCGGAAGGGGAAGAGGTGGACACAGAGGAGGAGGATTTTGGGAGTGGTGGAGAGGATTCAGAGATTAACCATGAGTATGGCTTGGACAGCGAAGATGACAGGGACGACTTCCCAGTCTTCTGGATTGCGGGTGGAGATTAAGAGGGGGAGTAAAATGGTGGTGAGGGAGGAAGCGGAATCGTGGGCTGGTAGGAGGTTGTACGGTAATGGTCGAATGGAAAATTGTGGACTTACTTGGTGGGAGATGCAATTTGGACCTACAGGGTTGGTTGTTTCCAATGTATCTGGTGTGGGGGCAGTGGTGTGTAACTCGTTTTGTGGTTTGCTTGTGAGCAAGCAAGCATACTCATACCTACGTGCACTGTGCGTCTGATATGCGAACTGCTACGGTATTCCTCCGTTGTGGCAGTTGTTTCAAGTCCAGTCTGTTGCATCAGTGCAATGTATGCTAAAAACTGTCCATACTGTCCTGCAACAAGTACCGTAACTAAGGTGTGGTTGGGTGGAGAAGATAGATCACATGTTTCACAAAATTGCTATCCCAGTGTGGTATTTTCACTGAGATAGAAGTTATTCTGCGGACCAGGCAGAAGTCACTGATTCACATTGGGCACTGACTGTGTTGCAACTAGCAAATGGATATTTGCACTGCATTGCATAGGTTCTTGTGTAAGAAGTGGTTAAGACCATGTTCCATTGCAAGGCGTGAAACTCCATCAGCTGGTGGGATACCATACATTGTGACATTTCTATATTGCTGATTCACATACATACATACACGCCTCTATGAAGAAGAGGTGGCAGAGTTGATAATGTCAACAAACTCAGGCTGCAAAAGGAAACAAAAACGGCAGAGTTAGCTATGCTTTTTCTTAAAACATGAGATCAGCTGCAGTGGATAAAGCTGGGCAAAACCACAGAGAAAAGAACCCAAGATACATACCTTGAGAGCAGCTCCACCAACAAGGAAGCCATCGACATCAGGAAGAGCGGCGAGCTCTTTGCAGTTAGCAGCGTTCACAGAGCCTGGTGGTTAGGCGCACGATAGGAGAAATGGAAGCGTTAAAAGATTACAATGACCTTATCTGTTAGCCAATGCAAAGGTCGTACCAAGTGTACCACACGCAAAGGGACAAAAAAAAACGCAGAAAATAAAGTGCTAACCATACAAGTATTCCACACGGATCCCTTATACCAGCCATTCCCCCATGCGTGCTCCAATTTCACCCCCTCACCTCCATATTGAATCCGGATAGCAGCTGCCACATCAGGGCTGACGTTCTCAGCAATGTACTTGCGGATGTCAGCATGCGTCTGCCATCACAGTGCCACGCATGGCATAAGCACCATACAGTTTTGTTCTTTCGTTTCTCACAACGATTCACAATCCAGAATAGATGTGCCACTATCAACCTAACTAGACGCTAACCTAGAAGAGAAAGCACCGCTCACCTCCTGGGCTTGAGCAGGCGTGGCGACCTTGCCAGTACCAATGGCCCAGATGGGCTCATACGCGAGAACAACATCGTCCCACTTGGTGATCTTGTCTGCATACGAGAAGAAAACAATATAAAAACAGCGACCGAAGCCAGCCCCTAACTCAGCGGAAACTACAATCGTACATGGGACACGAAGTGGAAGAATAACAACGGAAGCGAGACTGCACACGAAGAGAGCACGCAGCACACGGACCTGCAATGGCCTTTACTTGAGCAGAGACGACGGCGACAGTCTCGCCGCTCTCCCTCTGCTCCAAGGACTCGCCGATGCATGCAATGACCTTCAGACCCTTGCTCAGAGCGTACGCGACCTTGTCCGCGACGAACTGCACGTGATCAAGCAAGAAATTAAGAAGATCGTGAGATAAGCATCCTCTACAAGCACCAAGAACGGCATCCCCAATAAGCAGGTTACAGGGAGGGAAGAAATGTGTGGAGAGGCAGGGAGGCTGACCTCGTTGGATTCCTTGATGATGGTTCTCCGCTCGGAGTGGCCAAGGATGACCCAGGGAATGTCGAGATCCACAAGCATGTCAGCACTGAAAGAAATAAAGGACGAAATGTCAGGAGGTCCACATTCCAGATCAGCCCCTGAAATTCTCAGACGCAGAACACGGAAATCGCTTGCAACCAAAGCAGGGTGGGAACAGGGAGGTGACATACCTCACTTCACCGGTGAAAGCACCGCCCTTGCTGACCCAGGCGTTCTGAGCAGCGACGGCGAAATCCTTGCGGAGCTCGGCCTTCACGAGAGGAATGTAGACGGCGGGAGGAGCGATGACGACCTCTGGAATAGAAGGAGCAACGTTAGCAGTCAAGGAGAGCATGCCAGGAATGATGGTGAGACTATATGCCGGTGAAAGGGCTTACGAAATGATTGATTCGCATGCAGTTTCAAGGAACATGCATAAAGGGCAATCATTCCATTCACTCTTCTTCAAGCACGACAGCACATACCGACGACATCGCCGCTGGGAACAGTAGCGCCGTTGAGCACACCAACAAGCGTCTTGATAGACTCCTGGGTGCCGTTCTGTGAAACGTAACGAGGAACACGGTAAGCTTAGAATCCGGATCTGACGAGTCTACATCTCAGCAGTAACAATGAACGGATACTCACGCACTTCCAGTTGCCTCCGACGATGAACTTACGACCCATAGTTATGATTAGAAATGAAAAAGACTGGGAGGCTGGGAAGGTAGAGTCGTCAGAGGCTCGACTGGCGTAAAGTCAGCTGACAAAAACTGAGAAGAGACGTGCAAAGATTCAGAAGCTAGAATAGTTTCAAAATGGGATGGAGAATCTGTTTTATCTTCCAGACACATTCCCTCCGCGCCTGATCCCTACCGACGACGAGGGGAGTGTTTGTCAACCGCAATAGATTTGTGCTCATCACATTATGGTTCAGTACGTTTTCGTACGATTTCACACGGTTCTACATGACATTTTGCGTATAGTGCAGCAAACCGAACAGAACCGTGACGTATTGAATGCGAATATGCTGCACACCTTTTGGTAACTCCTTTTTCCCCGCTCTTGCCACCGTGGCTCTTTGACAAGGTTAATGTGACCTGGCACTATGCGGCAGATCCAGCGCACCTTGGCGCGCCCAGATTCTGGGGCCGAATAGTGATCGTGGCAGCCACGATCAGCGAGCAACAGTTTACATCCTTAGTCAGCAACTGTTCTTCATCAATCACTCTATACAGCTCAACTATGGTAAGAAAAGGTAGAAAAAATCAAGCACACATTGTAGATAAGGTATTTTCAAATGTCAGTCCAAAACAAGGAAGCAAACATGTGATCTTTTTTTTGTTTGATATATTTTATCACATGATACATCACATCCACGTCTCGTTTTCCTAAAAAATCATCACATAATGGCGTAATTCAGAGGTTAAGTGTCCAGAAAGCTATAAATCAATAATTTTCGAGATTTAATTTCATGCCCTAATGGCTACCAGGCAGGCCTCTTCCATAAAAATCTCCAGCTCAGCAGATAAAAAACACTCAAATGGGAGAGGTGTGAGCTGTAATGTTTTATGCAATATATGTCTGGTCTACACTCAACGGGGTCATTACCCGCGCAACACGAAAGCATATCAAGCCCCACGAACTGGACCATCCTCCCCTCTCGTCTCGTCACTCAAGCCAAGTCAAGCGAGTGGAGGAGAGGAGGATGGGTGCGACTCATCTCATCTCATTTCTTCCAAACCGATCAGCAAATCCAGGGGAGCAAGCCTTCACAGGCAGCTCTCACGATTGCACCCATCTCCAGGACCTAAATAGTAGCCTGCACCTTCTTTGGGGGGCTGTAGCAATGTCAGACTGACTGCTTTTACAGACATTCATAATAATCTCTGTGAAGGATCTCGGCTTTTCGTCAAAATGGGGGTAACCGAGGCCTTCGTATGCCTCGCTTTCAACTTCACCCTCTGCTCCGTGCTGCCGTTTTCCCCCACCACGCTCCTCATGCCCGCAATAAGCACACGCGCTGGAGTCACGCCGACCCGGAGGGGATGCGACTCCTCGGAGTTGTCGCGCACCGTCGCCGTGGTCGCAAGCGCCGTGCAGGAGCATTACAGCGTCACCCGCATTTTCTGGTGTGTGCCCGACTGGCCCGCGTCCAACTGATACTTTGTCGCGCATTGTCCATCAATTTCCCCCCTTTCTAGCTGTCGCATCCGTCGTGATTATTTTATTCGTGACGGCTCCCTCGCATTGCTTCAGCTATGTGCCTCCTTTCTCGCCGTCGCATTCCCCTGGCCGTTGGTCAGTCGTCTGTTCTTTGATTCTTTTCAGCATTTTTATGCCTGCATTGCAGTCTTCGGAGCACCGCGCTCCGACATTCCTATCTCCGTGTTATCCAGCTTCATACCGTGTATTGCTTCGCTTAAAATATGATCAGCTGATCGTCTTGGTTGACGCCAATGTTGGCGAATGTTCATCGTTGGTTGCTCGCAGTAACGACGACTTCTGTTACAACTTCCCGCGAATCAAGAACAGATTTCGCCGCTCGTTCGCGAGCGACCCTGACGGCAATCCTGCCGGTCAGGCGTTTCTCCGTGACGCGCTGTGCGGGGAGGTGCTCCTGAAGCGCGGTACGCTTCCCGCTGCACTGATCCCCATATGAACTTGTCTCATCTATTTTCTTCATTGCATTTTCACGCATAAGTTGGTCAAATCCTCCTAAGACATGTTTTTAGTCGCAAGCTTCTAGTTGGAATATCCACGCGCCTTTCCAAAATTATCTACCGAAACTCCCTTCCGCTCTCCCTTTCCGCTCAGGCGCGCGCCTGTTCCCCATGGGCGCGCCTATGTCCCAGCCCGTGTCCGTAATGCTGCGCGACCCAGTTCCCCCGCTCCCCCTGGCGGACGAGTCCCGCCTCTCCCTCTGCCTGCGCCGCGCGCTGCTCCCCCCGCTCCCCTTCTTCGTCCCCCTCGTGGCTCCGCCAACGGCTCTGGACCAGCAGCCTAAGAAGAAGGGCAATAGGGGGACTATGATGCCCCCTGGAGGGGGCGGGAACGTGATGACGCGGCAGTTCAACGAAGTGATGATTAATCTGGGCGTGCAGCAGGTCAACCAGCAGAAATTCGACGAGGCCATCAACACCTTCACTCTGGTACGATGAGAGAAAGAGAGACGGTTTTCACTTGGCTTTGCGAGACGCACTTGCTGCACGCCCAGATTAATCTGGGCGTGCAGCAGGTCAACCAGTAGAAGTTCGACGAGGCCATCAACACCTTCACTCTGGTACGATGAGATAAGGAGACACGGTTTTTCACTTGGGTTTGTGAGAATCACTTGCACTTTGTATGTGAGAGGCAGTTCAACGAAGTGATGATTAATCTGGGCGTCAACCTGTAGAAGTTCGATGAGGCAATCAACACCTTCACTCATTTCCCCGTTCCCCTCTCCGTCAACACTGGACTCTCCCACCCGCTCCCCTTTGCTTCTCCCCACCCACCCTACCCCTTCCCCCGTGCCTCCCCCTTCCCTTCGCTCTGCAGCTTCTAGACGAGCTGGGCAACAGTGCGCCAGCTCTCATTGGTCGAGGCACCGCCTACGCGCTCTCGGGCAAGATCAAAGAAGCCATTGAGGATTACTCTCTGGTGGGTGCTTGATGTGTTTCAGATAGTGCCTGTCGATTTAGGCGCTACGTCTGCGCTCTTGGGTAAGATCAAAGAGGTTACTCAGGATTACTCTGGTGGGTTGTTTTGTTATGGTGGTTCAAATGACGTATTGTGGCTAGTAGTTGAGGAACCGTCTATGTTCTCTTAGGTAAGATAACCGACGGCATGGAAATTGCTTGCTGGTGGTGGTTAAATAGAGCGTTGAAGAATCGCTCTGAAAAAGGATTAAAGATGTCACGAAAGGTTACTTGGTGGGTGTCCTTCCCACAGAGATGTGCTATATCCGCACTCGCTTTCTTTCTTTCTTGATCTCCCTAAACCCTCTATACCATTCCTATCCCCTTTCTGCTCGTGCCAACTCATTCCAAGACTCGAATCAAACTTCATCTCCCGCAAACCTACCTCATTCTAAACCGTGCCAGCACTTCAGGGCATCCCATTGCCATCATTATCGCTCTCCTTTCTGCACCCTCACTTGCTCTCCCATGCCAGGCATGTGAGCTGGACCCCAAGATGGTGGACGCCTGGCGCAGGAGGGCACAGGCCCGGCCCGGGCCCCTTATGTGGCTCCTCAACGTTTAAATGGTATCTCACTGCCATCACCATCTCTCTCCTGTCTCCACCCTTCCTCCTCTCCCACGCCAGGCGTGCGAGCTTGACCCCAAGATGGTGGACGCCTGGCGCAGGAGGGCCCAGGCCCGAGCAGCCATAGGGGAGGTGGACGGGGTGAGTTGATGCTGGTCGGGATTCTGGGGCTAGGGTTATTTGTGATGTCTGTTTGTTGGGACTTGGGGTGAGTTGAGAATTGGAGTTTCCGGCACATCAGGTTTCGGGTTTAAGGTATGATGCATGGCGCCATTGTGGGCGTCAACTTTGGGATTTCGGGTCAGTGCGTTGTGGTGGGTATGTGTGGACATACACAGAAGTTTGGAAGATTATCAATCTCAGGTCAACAAATCTGTGCCTCCTGCCCCTGTGGGGTGGCTGTGTCCCTCATACCTGCCCCCTTCCTTCAACCCATCATTGCATCTCTTTTCATGCCTTGTTTCCCACCCTTCACACCTCAACCCCGACCCGCCATCCCTCCCTTACCGCCACCCTTCATCCCTCTTTCCCCACCCTTCACACCGCCCTGTGCTGCACTCCTCTCAGGCAATCGAGGACTGCACCACGACGCCCAGCCTGGAAATAGGGGCTGATGGACCTGCTGGGTGTGTGTGTGGAATCACAAAAACACCATTACTTGCTTATTAACCTTCATGCCTCTCTCTCCCTCCCACCCTTCACGCCACCAGGCCATCGAGGATTTTACCACGGCGCTTAGCCTGGAGAAGGGCCAGATGGACCTGTTGATGGAGCGAGGTGAGGAGACAAGGAGGGGAGGGGTGGGATGGGAGGGGCATGGAAGGGGCAGATTGACCTGCTTATGGAGTGAGGTGACCTGAAAGAGGGGGAAACAAGGGGTGTGTGTGATGACAGGGGAGGGACGTGGGGAAAGAGGTGGGGCGTTGGGCAATTGATTTACTGGATGAAAGAGGAGGGTGAAGAGTGGAGAGAGGGGCATCATCACTCTGTTTGAGTCTGCAGCAATGAGGACAGAATTTTGTCCTTGCCACGCATCTGTTATCTAGTACTGATGCAATCAGCATGACTGATAGTCATTTTCAACAATCTGCTGTTTCCATGTATGTTGCTTTGTCGATCTACTCAAACTGTGAACCATCATCCCTCACCATTTCCACCTCTGTCCACCACCCACCAGGCATGGTGTACGCCAGGGCACGGCGTTTCTACGAGGCAGCCAAGGACCTGAGGGCGGTGGTTGCCGTCATGCCCAAGGAGGAGCTGGCGCACGTTGCCTTGGTGAGTGGGAACACAACATTAGTGTTGGATTGAAGTAGAATACTCTCTCGAACGGCGCCCGCTGCATTGCTGAGTGCTGCTCAACGCATGGGGGGGTGACCTAGGGGCAGTGTAGCGGTGATGCTTAAGGAGGAGCTCACACATGTTGCGCTGGTGAGTGGGCGCATATGTGATCATATGTGTTGTGGTGGGGCTCATGGAGATACTCCAGAGGATTGTGGCAGGCAGCCCGGGCAACACAGGGAGATGCGTCCACCTCCGGCCTCCGCCCTCTTTGCACCGATTGCAGGCGGAATCCACATGTGCTCTCTTTGCTCCGCCCTCACTTCCCTCCCTCCATTCCTGCTTTGCACCCATGCTGCAGGCTGAGTCTCTGGTGGGGTTGGGCGAGACAGAGGAGGCGATGGAGATTTATGAGAAGGTGGTGGATGGAGGGAAATTTGACATGCACTTTGCTGCCCCCGCCTGCCCCCTTCACCCCCCCTCCCCCTCTCCCTCCCTCCGCCTCACCCTTCCTGCCTGCCACCCATGTCGTGCAGGCTGAGTCTCTGGTGGGGTTGGGCGAAACAGAGGAGGCGATGGAGATTTATGAGAAGGTGGTGGATGCAAACCCGGGCAACAGGATGGCGTGGCTGTACATGGGGCAGGCCGCCAAGGAGCTCGCCATGCCTGACAGGGCCGAGCAGGCTTACAGGAAGGCCACGCAGCTGGAACCCAGGTGAGCGTTGAGGCCTTAGTCAGCCAATGTGGTAAGTCATGCGCAGGCCAGAGGCCTTGAGGGTCGAGGCAGCAAACCCGGGCAACAGGATGGCATGGCTGTACAGTGTACATGGGGCAGGCGGCCAAGGAGCTCGCCATGCCTGAGAGGGCTGAGCAGGCCTACAGGAAGGCCACGCAGCTGGAACCCAGGTGAGCATTGAGGCATGCATGTGGGGTTGGAGACGGTTTAGAGGGGTCGTTGAATGGCATGGATGGCGTGGCTGTACATGGGGCAGGCCGTTAAGGAGCTCGCCATGCCTGACAGGCCGGAGCAGACCTACAGGAAGGAGACACAATTGGAGCCCAAGTGAGTGTGGTGAAATGGGGTTGAGTCGGTTTAGAGGGGTCTTTAAATGACATGGGTGCAGCAATGGCATGGATGGCATGGCTGTACACGGGGCAGGCAGCTAAGTAGCTGGCCATGCCTGATATGGCGGAGCAGGTATACCAAAAGACTACCCAGCTGGAGCCCAGGCTAACAAGGAATCTCGTCAGCTGTAGTCTCTTGCTCCAAACCCACTCCCATCCCTCCATACTCCCATCCCTCCATACTTGCATGCCTCCATACCTCATGCCTCGATCCATGCCCCCATGCCCCTCCCTCTCCTCCCAGGTTCGCCCAGGCGTACCGCGTGTGGGCGCTGCTCAAGCACGCCATGGGCGACCACAAGTGAGTGTGTGGGTGGATGTGGCCTGCACACGCAGTGTATGTCCATGCCATGCCTTCCCAACTGCGCCCATGCTTCTCCTTGGGCACTGCTCAAGCATGCCATGGGTGACCACAAGTGTGCGCCCTTCCCTGTCATCCCAACCATACCCTGAATGTGCACATCAGCTCACAGCCACCTTGGGCTCACGGCCCCAATTCATGATCATATCGCCATAGCCAGTCTCGAGTAAGCCAAATCAATGGGAAACTGCAACACTCTCAAGCTGCAGCTGTATTGGTGTTACTTTTGAGAATTCTCTAAAGTAACACCAAATCAACGAAAAACTGCAGCACTTTCAGGCTGCAGCCGCCCACTGTTCCCCCTGCAGCTGCCCACTCCTGCCCCCCCTTCTTAGATCCTTTCCCCTCCTCTCCTCTTCCTCCCTTTTTTTCTCCCTCGTCACTCCTCACACAGGCATGCACTGGAGCTGGTGCAGGTGGCAATGCAGCTCGAGCCGGAGGGCAAACTGAATGGAGACTTCTCCAACACCTTCCCCCTCCCCATCCTTCCCCGCCCCTTCCTTTCCCCCTCCCCATCCTTCCCCGCCCCTTCCTTTCCCCCTCCCCATCCTTCCCCGCCCCTTCCTTTCCCCCTCCCCATCCTTCCCCGCCCCTTCCTTTCCCCCTCCCCATCCTTCCCCGCCCCTTCCTTTCCCCCTCCCCATCCTTCCCCGCCCCTTCCTTCCCCCTCCCCATCCTTCCCCGCCCCTTCCTTTCCCCCTCCCCATCCTTCCCCACCCCTTCCTTTCCCCCTCCCCATCACTCCTCACACAGGCACGCACTAGAGCTGGTGCGTGTGGCAATGCAGCTCGAGCCGGAGAACGTGGAGGGGCATTACATCAAGGGGTCGTGCCACCACGCCCTGGGGCAGCTGCAGGACGCCGTGAGTGGACGCATGCTGCTTGTGATGCTCTCTCAACCCTAGACCCCACACGTTAAACCTTAAGCCCTTGAATGTGGAGGGGCATTACATCAAGGGGTCGTGCCACCACGCGCTGGGGCAGCTGCAGGACGCCGTGAGTGACGTGGGGAGGTGCATGTGATGCTCATGCTCTCATCGGTGGATAGGAATTACACTCCGGCTCCGCACCAGTGTCTCGCCTTCCCTCCTTCCTCGCCCCCCCCCACTCCTTCCTCTCACACCACCAGGTGGTGACATACGATGCTTTGTTGGCCAAGCCCACACTAGGATGGAACTACCCAAATGACCAAAGCGCCCCTAACTCACTTTTCCCCCGCCCTCGCACCACCAGGTGACGACATACGATGCTCTCTTGTCCAAGCCCACACTGCAAGCTGGTTACCACCCAAATGAAGCGCCCCTCCCGCACTCTTTCCCGCCTCTCACACCACCAGGTGACGACATACGATGCTCTCTTGTCCAAGCCTACACGGCAGGAGGAGCAGCCCTTACTCTTCATGGCATTCTACCAGGTGAGCCTTCTCAGCAGCCTTACGCCCTAATCTTCTCCTACCCTGTGAGCTCCTCTCAGCAGCTTTACACCCAGGTGACTATGGTTTAGACTAAAAAATGGCCAACCAAGCCCACGCGCCAGGTGGAGCAGCCCTTGCTCTTCATGGCATTCTATCAGGTGAGCCCCTCCCAGCAGCCTTACACCCCCTAAAATTTGTGCTACCAGGTGGGCTCCCCTCAGCAGTCTTACACTCCCTAAACTTGTGCTACCAGGTGGGCTCATCTCAGCAGAGTTACACCCAGAATCCGGAAGCCTAAACCCCCCATTTTCGGTTCCCACAGGGAGGTTGCTGGTTTGGCTATTCCATCTCATTGTCCCGCACTGCATTAAGCATCTCCTGCAAGAGTTCATGCTTCTCGCACCTTCCTTCTCCTTTTTCTTTGCATTTTTTCGTTTGCTGCCCTCGTGCTCTCTCTTGGTTCCTCACTCAGGCCACCCACTCACTTGCATGCATTCACTCACCCTCACCAACCCTCACTCACTCGATCTTACTCTCTCACTGGTTCACTCTCTCCCACCCGCTCACTCCATCTCTCTAACCCACCACTCCCCATGCACCACTCACTCGCATGCACAGAGGGACGTGGCACTGCTTACAGCTTCTCGCCTCAATAAGCCTCTCCGTCTCCCTCATCCTCTCCACTCCATGCTTCTGTCACTCTCTCCCACCCTCTCCCTCCCACCCTCTCCCTCCCACCCTCTCCCTCCCACCCTCTCCCTCCCACCCTCTCCCTCCCACCCTCTCCCTCCCACCCTCTCCCTCCCACCCTCTCTCTCATGCACAGAGGGAGGTGGCGCAGTTCACAGCGTCTCGCCTCAATAAGCCTCTCCGTGACTTTGACTTTGAAGACAACTTCGGACCCGAATTCAAGGTAGAACTTGACGTCTCAGCTCGACAGAAGCTGAGTTTTCGAGTCAATTCAAATGTTTTTTGACTTTGAAGACAATTTTGGGCCCGAGTTCAAGGTAGGACTTGACCTCTCAGCTTTCCAAAAGCTGCACTGGGGTTTGGAGCACAAGGCGAGGCAAAGAGTTCATGCAAGAAAATAGGTTTTGTAGGAAGCGATATCATTGCTCAACTTCGTTTCTAAAAAAAAAAAAAAAAAAAGTGATTTTCCCAAGAGGAGAGGCTTGCAATGACCAGGGGGAGCCCACACCAACTGTTCTCTTCCTTGTTCTTACACTACTTTCCCCTTCTCCTCCTCTTCCCCGTTCACCGCCTCCACTACTGCCCCTCACAGCAAGCATGGGCGCGTCGATCCGTGCCCACCGACCTCTTCCCTGCCTACCGCCCGCAGCCATACCGGGCGGCATTTGACAACCAGTTGAAACCAGAGAGGTGGGTGCGAGAGGGGACGAGAGAGACTAGGATTGAAAGAGTGGGTTGTGAGAGGTACGCACAGCAAGGCACCTCTTCCCTGCCTACCGCCCGCAGCCATACCGGGCGGCATTTGACAACCAGTTGAAACCAGAGAGGTGGGTGCGAGAGGGGACGAGAGAGACTAGGATTGAAAGAGTGGGTTGTGAGAGGTACGCACAGCAAGGCACCTCTTCCCAGCCTACCGCCCGCAACCATACCGGGCGGCATTTGACAACCAGTTGAAACCAGAGAGGTGGGTGCGAGAGGGATAAGAGATGGTGATATGAGGGGGTTGAGTGAAAGGGGTATATGTGAGAGTTGGATATGAGAAGTATGCCCAGCAAGGTGCCTCTTCCTGGCCTTTCCCCTGCAACTGTACCAAAGGGTATTTGACAACCGAATGAAGATCCAGATTCTGCTGCTCTTGCTGTGAGTGTGTGCGTGTTGTCTGTGTGTGTCTATGTATGTGTGTGTGTGTTCGCATGCGTGCTCGCATTGCACGTCTACACACACATATGATATGCATGGTATCATATCACGTGCCAAACATCACGCACATGCCAAACATCATGCATGTGCCATACATCATGCACGTGCCATACATCATGCATGTGCCATACATCATGCACGTGCCATGCATCATGCATGTGCCATACATCATGCACGTGCCATACATCATGCATGTGCCATGCATCATGCATGTGCCATGCATCATGCACGTGCCATACATCAGGCACGTGCCATACATCATGCACGTGCCATACATCATGCACGTGCCATACATCATGCACGTGCCAAACATCATGCATAATACCTCACATGCACACACCATGCATCGTGCACACACACCATGCAATAACAAACCTCATGTGCGTGCACCATGCATCACATCATGCCACATCAGGCATGTGAGCGAGCAGGTGAAGCGGGGAAGGAAGGAGCTCGTCAAGGCTGCAGACACCGTTGGTGGTCGCACGCAGTACACTTCCCCCGGCTTCCTGCCCAACCAGAGGCAGGTAGGCTCGGCTTCTGCCCAACCAGAGGCAGGTAGGCTCGGCTTCTGCCCAACCAGAGGCAGGTAGGCTCGGCTTCCTGCCCAACCAGAGACAGGTAGGCTCGGCTTCTGCCCAACCAGGGACAGGTAAGCTCGGGATCTGCTCACTCAGCACCAATTAGGCTCGGCTATTTTCTCAACCAAAGATGTGTCGTCTCGGCGAAGCGGCATAGCAGCATGGCAGTAGTGGCACAAAAAACGTTCTTGCTTCTTTCCATATCTCCTTCCTCACCCTTGTTCCTGTCCTAAACAAACCGGCACTGCGCAGCAGGCATGGCTGCGTTGGAGGTGATGCAGGCAGCACGCACCTCGTGGCGAGAGCCTTGGGTCATGTAGTGCCTGACGGTTGCTCCCTCCTACTCTCGTGCTCCTTCCCCCATCCCACCCTCCTCCCCAATTAACAGCACCACGCAGCAGGCATGGCTGCGCTGGAGATGATGCAGGCAGCACAGGCCACGCTAGAGCCCCCCCCCCCCCCCCCTGTCCCCCTGTCTCTCCTGCTCTTTTCTTCCATCTTTCTCCACCCTTCTGCACCGTTCCATCCACCCCAGCACCGCGCAGCAGGCATGGCAGCACTGGAGATGATGCAGGCAGCACGCGCCACGTGGCGAGAGCAGGCAGCAGCAGCGAGCAAGCAGCAGGGCAAGGGCGGCAGCAGCAGCAAGGGGCGCGCCAGTAGCAGCAGGCGGAGCGACCATTATGAAGATTATGACGACGATGAGGAGGAGGATGAGGATGAGGACGAGGATGAAGCGGGGGTGACGGTGGGAGGGTGGAGGGACCTGTACTCCATTGCTGTGCGCTGGCGCCTGCTGTCGGAGTCCTGTGACCCCATCGTGTGGGTCGACCAGCTCACGTGAGTGGTCCTGTGCGGTTGGTGAAGGTGCTGTGCGGTTGGTGAAGGTGCTGTTCGGTTGGTGGTGCTATGAAGGATAGGAGGACGCGGGAGCGACGGTGGGGGGGTGGAGGGATCTGTACTCCATTGCGGTGCGCTGGCGGCTGCTGTCAGAGCCCTGTGACCCCATCGTGTGGGTCGACCAGCTCACGTGAGTGCTGCTGTGCGGTGCTGTGTGGTTGGTTAAGGTGCTGTGCGGTTGGTTAAGGTGCGGTGCGGTTGGTGATGGTGCTGTGAAGGATGGGGAGGAAGGCGGGTGGGCGGGTGGAGGGATCTGTACTCCATTGCGGTGCGCTGGCTGCTGCTCTCAGAGCCCTGTGACCCCATCGTGTGGGTCGACCAGCTCACGTGAGTGCTGCTCTGCGGTTGGTGGCCGTGCTGTGCGGTTGGTCATGGTGCTATGGAGTTGGTGATGGTGCTGTGCGGTTTGAAAAGGTGCTGTGCGGTTGCTGTCGGTGCTGTGGGTTTGGTGATGGTGATATGCGGTTCATGATGCTTCTATGAAGGATGGAGGGGCCTGTATCTCATCTCCTTCCCACATGCCACTCGCAGCAAGGAGTTCACCTACAAGCCAAGGCCCACACACACCGCTGAGATCTTCCTATGTCTCTCTCTCTGCTTCTTCCTTCAAATCCCACATGCTGTTCTCGTGCGTCTCATCTGCTGCTCGCAGCCAGGAGGAGTTTGAGAAGGGCTTTGGTGCTGTGACAGCAATGGTACAGGGGCACTCCAAGAACCTCCGCTACTATGCCAACTATGACAGGTGGGTGGGTTGGATAAGCAGCAGTCTTTACTGGATTACCAGGAATGGTGCAGTGTTGGCAGTGCACATAGCAGCAATGGTGCAGCAATGGTGCAGCGATCGTGCAGGGGCTCTTGAAGAACCTCCGCTACTATGCCAACTACGAGAGGTGGGTTGGGGATTGGCGCTGTGGCCTGCTTGCTTGTATACAGCACGGTGGCAGCATGTGGTCCAGGGGCTCTTGAAGAACCTCCGCTACTATGCCAACTACGAGAGGTGGGTTGGGGATTGGCGCTGTGGCCTGCTTGCTTGTATACAGCACGGTGGCAGCATGTGGTGCAGGGGCTCTTGAAGAACCTCCGCTACTATGCCAACTTTGCCCACCCTCTGGGCCTTAGCATTGATCAGGGCCTTTGATTCTTGACTTGGGCCTTAGCATTGATCAGGGCCTTTGATTCTTGACTTGGGCCTTAGCATTGATCAGGGCCTTTGATTCTTGACTTGGGCCTTAGCATTGATCAGGGCCTTTGATTCTTGACTTGGGCCTTAGCATTGGTCAGGGCCTTTGATTCTTGATTTGGGCCTTAGCATTGGTCAGGGCCTTTGATTCTTGACTTGAACAGGGGGGAGTGCACCCTTGATTTCACGCGTCCCTCATTTAACCTTCATTTCACTCGCCACTACTCTCGTCCCCCACAGCAGGGAGCTGTGGGGAGTGCCCACCTGTTTTCAAACTGTTGTGGAAGCAAGAATGTCCCAGTGGGTACCTTTGGTCTTAGTGGTCGCGGGTTCAACTCTCATCGGCAGCACCTTCTCTTCTCATTATGCCGAACATGACACTCCCACACTCCACCACACTCACCCACAGTGAAGTGTGGTCACAGTTGGCATTGCCATGTGTCCACCCATCCCATACTCACCTTGTTGGCTCCTATGGTGTGCCACATGCTGCCATGTAGGCTGTTGTTCCAGCCTGGCCCACATGTGCAACATGTGGCCTCAATTGCTAGCTTGGCAAGGTTGGCTAGCCCTGCCCTCAGCTTTGAGGTGCTGCAGCTAGCCTCAAGAGTTCAGCCACATAAATGTGGCTTCCCACTTCTCTAGAACTCATCCTTGGAAAGGACATTGCTCTAACCTTTCAGGCTTGTACCATCTTCCTACTAAGGATATATTGTTCTTCTCTCATTGTGCCTCAAGTTCACCGATCCTCATTCTACATGCTATCAGAGCAAGGCTTCTAGCTTAGTGAACGTTGCACACTTCATGGCTCAAGTTGAAACGCCTCTCGGTCGGCACACCCTTCCCATCTTGGAACCAGATGGTTCCAACTTCATTCCATGGAAGAAAAAGATCTGCTACATCTTCAATGTCCTCGGGCTGATCTCCCTCCTTGGAGATCCCAAGGTTGCTTCGCGTCCTTCAATCTCCTCTTCCACAACCAGCGGTGGAGAGACTACCGAAGGCAACAGCGATGCAGCCCCTAAGACAGCCCATTCGATTGCTTCGCTGCCGGATGAAGAAAAAGAGGAGCATGCATACTATCTTCTCATGTCAGCCGTCCATCCTCAACTATCGCTCACTCTTGCTCAAGCCAACACGACAAAGGATATGTGGGGATGCATCATGGCGCGGTTCGACTGCATGGGCAACCATGCACAAGTGGCTCTCCTCCGGGATCTCATCACTACACGGATGGACCCAACAACAAGTCTTCGCTCCTACTTTGATCGAGTTGGAAACCTTACACACCAACTCAAATCTGCCGGCTTTGAGCTACCATCATGGGTGGTGGTAATCTCCATCATCCTCAACCTTCCGGACTCGTTCAAGACCCTTACTGAAACCATTTGCACCGTGAAAGACATAAAGTCTATGACGGTTGAATACCTACAGTCACGCCTACTCGATGCCGATTGGGAGCGGTCACAATCTGGTACAAGCCGTAACATGGAGGGTGCATACAACCTCAATTCCCAGCCCTCCCACCCTCTTCGCTCCGGTTCACGCCAGTCGCCCACCTGCCGTTACTGCAAGAAAACGGGTCACACCATCGATGAATGCTTCAAATTGAAGAAGAAGAAAGAGCTTGAAGAAAGCTCTAAACGGGAGAAATCCGTCTTCCAATCCTCGGTGCATGTCTCCACCAGCTCCTCTGCTGAAGCTACTCCGACCCCCACACCACCTCCTGCCCCATCAACCCCTCAGTCCGTACCTGATTCCCGGTACGTGGACATTGCTGTCAGCACCAGCCACCACCCCATCTTCTCCACATGGACTCCTCTCGTCGCTGCTGTCTTCATTCTCACCATCCTCCTTCTCCTCCTCCTCTTCCCTTATGGGGCTCCCTACGCATCGGCATTCACGGCCTCCTCATTCAATATGGAGCGGACTTCGTCGTGGCTGGTGGACAGCGGCGCATCCTCCCATATCTGCTCGGATCGTTCGCTGTTTTCGTCTCTCAAGAAGCCCAACGAAGAGATCCTTGTTCGTTTTGGTGGAGGAGAGACTTACAAGGTCTTGGGAGTCGGCACGGTGGTGGCTACTCTTCGGTCACCAACATCGGAAACCACCATTCAGCTTGACAACGTTCTATTTCTCCCTTCATCAGTTCACAACCTGCTCTCTGTTCGTGCGCTTGGTGCTTCCGGCGTTGCCGTCTCGTTCCCCGCTGCTGGGCGCGTTGTTCTCACATCTGATGACGTTCCTATTGGCGAGGGCTACACCCGCAACAATATGTTTTATCTTCAACTGCATCATGGGAGCAGTGCTGCTCCTTCTATCAAGCCAACTGCATGTCCAGCCTCCACCACCACCTCCTCGTACCTCTGGCATCGTCGTTTCGGGCATCTCAACATGCAGGCCTTGTCAACACTTCATCGGCAGCAGCTGGTCACCGGTCTTCACCTCTCCTCCACCTCGATTCCCCCCTGCATCTCGTGCTATCGTGGGAAACAAACACGTCAGCCATATGGCATGTCCCATTCTCGCACCACAGCCCCACTCCAACTCATTCACTCAGATATTGCTGGACCGCTTTCATATGGAACTACCATTGGCGGCGCTCGCTACCTTCTCACCTTCATCGACGACTACTCCCGCCACATTACAGTGTATCTCCTACGCCACCGGTCGGAGGCACTTTCATGCTTCAAGGCTTACGTCACTCGGGTGCACAACATGCATTCCCCACACACCATCAAAACCTTTCGCGCTGACGGTGCCTTGGAGTTCACTTCCAAAGCCTTCACTTCATTCCTTACAGCTCATGGCATCGCCCGCCACCTCTCCACGCCATACACACCTGAGCAAAATGGAGTAGCTGAGCGGGCCAACCGGACTTTACTTGAGATGGTCCGTTCCATGCTCCATGATGCACACATGGACAAAGGCTGGTGGGGTGAAGCCGCTCTTACTGCTGCCTATCTTCGTAATCATGCCATTAGTCGGGGTGGTTCAACTTCTAAGACTCCCATGGAACTATGGACCGGTACACGTCCGGATGTATCACACCTCCGCATCTTCGGTTCACCCGTCTCGGTCCTCATTCCTTCCCAACGGCGTTCTAAGCTCGACGACCGAAGCACGGCCGGCATCATGGTTGGATATGGTCATCTCGACGGCACCAAAGCTTACCGCATCTATATCCCATCTCAGCACCGTGTCATCCTTTCTCGTGATGTCATCTTCATGGAGCCCTCTGCACCGCCTTCCGACGACTCTCGCGACCCTCCATCGTCATCTCCACCCACATCCTCCTCACTACCTCCTCCTACACACCCTTCTTCCTTGGACCCAATCTCCCCTCCCTCTCCTTCCCCCACCATACCTTCCTCCACCAACCCCCACCCACAATCCCCAAACCTGCCCGCACCAGCCACATCTTCTCCTCCTCCATTGTTTTCCAACCTTCCTCTGCCCTCGACGCCGCAAGACTTTCACCTTCCATCCTTCTCTCCTCCCTCTTCGCCTCCCCCTCCCCATTGCACGACTCGCTCCTCCCCGCCATCCCCTTCAGCTCTTCCCGATCCTTCCCTTTTCTCCTTCCTCAAGGTCTTACCATCCCCTTCCGAACCCATTGACTTCACTCTTCCTCCTCTTTCCAACACCTCTGCCAATGCTGCCCTTCACCATCATTACGAACCTCAAACCATTCATGAGGCTCGTACCGGCCCTGATGCTGCCGAATGGATCAAGGCTGCTGATGCGGAACTCGCTGCCCTGCACGCTAATGACACCTACAGCATTGTTCCTCGACCACCCAAGTGCAAGCCGATTCCATGCAAATGGATTTTCAAGGTCAAGGAGAACGCTGATGGTTCTATTGAACGCCGCAAAGCCCGCCTTGTTGTCAAAGGCTTCAAGCAACGTGATGGTGTTGATTTTCATGACACCTTTGCTCCTACCGTCCGCTTCGCCACCCTCCGCTTGTTTCTCACCATAGCTGCCGCTTTCAACCTGGACGTCCATCAGCTGGACATCTCCAACGCCTTCCTCAACGGCACCCTTGATGAGATTCTCTACATGATGCAGCCTCCCGGTTATGACCTTCCGGCGGTCCATGGTGTTGAGCAAGTTTGTCTCTTGCACAAACCGCTGTACGGGTTGAAGCAAGCTCCGCGATGCTGGTACCGCAAGCTTCGTGAGGAGCTTGCTGCCTTTCACCTCTTTGCTGCTCGTGCGGACCCCGGCCTCTTCATTGCTCCTCCTCACTCACCTTATCGGCCTACAGCTGCATCCTTCTTCATGCTTCTCGTCTATGTTGACGACCTCATCATTCTCTCCTCCTCCTCCTCTCTTCTTGCCTCATTCAAGCATGCCCTTTCATCTCGCTTCAAACTTCGTGACCTCGGACCTCTCTCCTACTACCTTGGCTTTCACATCACTCGTGATCGAACTTCCCGCACTCTCCACCTTCATCAATCCAAATTCATCACCTCCATTCTAGACACCTACTCCTTCTCTCCACTGAACCCCGCTGCCACTCCCATGGACACAAAGTTTCAGCCACCCGTGACTTCCTCCCCGCACTCCTCCTCCTTCGCTTACACCTCGTTTGTCGGCTCCATCATGTATGCCATGGTGGGGACCCGTCCCGACCTCGCATATAGCGCTTGAGTTCTTGCTCGTCACCTTCACGATTGGTCTACTCCTCACGTCTCGGCTGCCAAACGCATTGCTCGCTACTTGAAAGGGACTACCTCCCTTGGGCTTCTCCTTGGTGGCATTCCCGACACCCTCGAACTTCATGGCTGGTGTGACGCCTCTTGGGGACCGGAGGGGGAGCTGCGTCGCTCCGTTACGTGCTACTTGTTCTTCCTCGGTCCGTCACTCATCTCTTGGCAGTCCAAACGCCAAGCCGTCGTTGCTACCTCTTCATGTGAAGCTGAATATTACTCTCTGGGCGCCGCGGTGCACGAGGCATTATGGCTTCGTTCGCTCCTTACTGCAGTTGGACTTCCCCCTACCGGCCCCACCCGTATCTCGTGTGACAACAACAGTGCCATCATTCTAGCCAAGGACGATGGCGTCTTTCATCCCAAGGCCAAGCACATCGACATCAAGCACCATTTCATTCGCGATCATGTTGCCGACCACTCCATCACCCTTCACTATGTTCCTACTCAAGACAACCTCGCTGACATTGGGACCAAGCCTTTGCCCCGTGACCCTTTTCTTCGCATCCGTGGTCTTCTCGGTCTCACCCATGTTTCCTCTTGAGGCACCCTACCCCGGGGACATCCTTGAGGGGGGGTGTTGTGGAAGCAAGAATGTCCCAGTGGGTACCTTTGGTCTTAGTGGTCGCGGGTTCAACTCTCATCGGCAGCACCTTCTCTTCTCATTATGCCGAACATGACACTCCCACACTCCACCACACTCACCCACAGTGAAGTGTGGTCACAGTTGGCATTGCCATGTGTCCACCCATCCCATACTCACCTTGTTGGCTCCTATGGTGTGCCACATGCTGCCATGTAGGCTGTTGTTCCAGCCTGGCCCACATGTGCAACATGTGGCCTCAATTGCTAGCTTGGCAAGGTTGGCTAGCCCTGCCCTCAGCTTTGAGGTGCTGCAGCTAGCCTCAAGAGTTCAGCCACATAAATGTGGCTTCCCACTTCTCTAGAACTCATCCTTGGAAAGGACATTGCTCTAGCCTTTCAGGCTTGTACCATCTTCCTACTAAGGATATATTGTTCTTCTCTCATTGTGCCTCAAGTTCACCGATCCTCATTCTACACAAACAACTCAATCATCCCTTACACCCTTCCCTCTCATGTCCCCTCCCTCTTTTGTCCACCTCACCAGGGCCTTTGCACTGATCGAAGATGAGATGCTGTAGAAGGGAGCATTGGAGATTAATAATCTAATGTTCAGCCGCTCAATCATCATCCCTCACGCCCCTCACCCTCATGTCCCCTCCCTCTATTGTCCACCCCACCAGGGCCTTCGCACTGATCAGGGATGAGATGTTAGAGCAGGGAGCAGTTGAAATCGGCGACCTGACACAGAAATACGAGATCCCTGTTGAGATGGATGCTGAGGTGAGGGAAGGGGTGTGATTTTGTACAGGAGGCTGGCATGTGACGTAGGGGGGCCTGGCAGGTGATGTGATGTAGTCCTCGCACCCAACGAGCAGGGGGCAATGGAGATCGGTGATCTCACACAGAAATACGAGATTCCTGTGGAGTTGGATGCGGATGTGAGGGAGAGGGCGTGCGCGTGCGCTGATTCTCAAGGCTGCTGCATGTGATGTGATGTGGTGTGGTGCGGTGCGGTGCGATGTTGAGAGGTTGGCATTGTACAGGCATCAAGTGACGTGGCCCTCACATCCAACAAGCAGGGGGCAGTTGGAATTGGCGACCTGACACAGAAACACGAGATCCCCGTCGAGATGGACGCTGAGGGAAGGGGTGTGTTCCACTCACAGTCGCAGGGGCTGCTATGTGGTGCTATCTGGTGATTGCTGATTGCGCTGAGGTGGAAAGCGGGAGATACTAAGTAGCTGTGGAACATGGTGGGTCAGAAGAGCTTTTTTGTCATCGACTCATCGTGCCCCTGTCCCTTCTCTACTTGTGCAATCCCTCCTTTCCCCCTGCAGGTTGAAGCAGCGGAGACACCTAAGGAGTTGTGAAACGTAATGGGGCAGAACTTCCTAATCACCGTGCCCCTCTCCCATCGCATCCCTTCCCTTTCCTCCCTCTCTTCACTGTATGCCCTGTATGCCCCTCCTGCACATGTGCAGGTTGAAGCCGCGGAGACACCAGAGGAGCTGTGGAACGTGGTGGGGCAGAACTTCCTCATCACCGTGCCCTGCTTCTCCACCGCGCAGCCCGAGTGAGTTCCGTGTCCCCCCCCCACCCCAAGCTCACTCGCTCGGCCTATCCATTGCACCCACCATATTCCGCCTCCCTCCATTCATTCCAGAATCCCCCCCTTTTCTCCGCTCTTCTCCCACCCCTCATCGCATCCTTCCTGGAACGTTTTCCTCTTTCGTCCGTCCCAATACTTCTGCCATTTCGCACTTGCCATTCCTGCTGTAACCCAACCCGTTTTGCACTTGCCATTCGTGCTGTAACCCAACCCGTTTCGCACTTGCCATTCCTGCTGTAACCCAACCCGTTTCGCACTTGCCATTCCTGCTGTAACCCAACCCGTTTCGCACTTGCCATTCCTGCTGTAACCCAACCCAACCTCCCCGGTTTCCTTCCGTTCATGGTGCTTATCCCCCTCTTCTCTCCTTGCATCCTCTTCCTTCTCTCACCCGCTCACTCCACTCCTCTCATTCACCTTCTCATGGTAGCATGTCTTTCTTGCATCTTCCCCTCACCTCCTTCCCTTCCCTGCGTTCTCCCATCTGTCTCCCTCTCCCTCTATGTGGCCTCCCCTTCCAACCTCCTCCCTCGCACCTTACCCCCTTGTCCCTACGCCTCTTCTGTCTGCAGGTACATGCTCAACGGGACAACCCTCGCCATCCAAAAGAAAAGACTTTTGCGACGACTCTCTCTCACTCTATCTCGTGCCCAACTCCTCATTTCCTTTCCCTCACTCCCCCTTTTCCTCCACAACCCCCCAATTCACCCATTCCCAATGCCCGTTCTGTCCGCAGTTACATGCTCAACGGGACAACCCTCGCCGTCCGGAAACTGTAAGGCGCACGCACCCATTCCTCCTTGCTTTGCTGTGTGCTCACGTGCTCACCACGTCTTACAGGCAAAAGCTTTCTTGCTAGATGTGATTCGTTTATTGGAGTGCTCTATAACGAATCCAGTCATATTCTCTCAGCGCACCGGATGAGTGTCTCCCCAGCATTCTCTGACACCACCACCCATTCACTCCTCCCAAGTAGTTCTTCTCTTAGCACTAACCTTTGCAATCACAACTCCCCCTTCAACGCTCACCCTTGCTACGTGCGTGCATGTCACAGGGGCGATGGGGCGTTTGACTTTGCCATCAAGATGCCCCTCACGCCCCCCCGATGGAAGGAGTATGATGCTGAGCTCACTGCAGCATGGAAGGTGAGGACTGTGGTAGCAGCAACGTAACGTGGTAACTGCAGCGTGACATGGTATCATGCCGCTGACACCTCCCCGATGGAAGGAGTACGATGCTGAACTCACTGCTGCATGGAAGGTGAGAGAGGGTGTAACGGTGTAACAGCAGTGGTAACCATGTAGCATGTGAGGCGTAATGTGATTACAGCAACGTAACCACCTAGTGTGGTAACCGCAGCATAGCAGCATGGTAACAGCTGCGTCACATCCCAACAGAACCTGAGTGAGGTGATGGCAGAGGACAAGACAGGACGCCAACAGCAGCAACGACGAGAAGCTGGTGAAAAAAGGATCTTTCTCAGCTGCCTCTTACCCGAGTGAGAATACCCTAGTATTCGCTCCTCTTCCCGCCCTTTCTCACGTCCACTGTTCCCTCCCCTCCCTCTCCAGTCAACCTGCCGATCCTGTGTGTGGTGATGGCAGACGCCAAGAGCAGCAAGGACCAGTCTTTCTCTGACATTCCCTCTTCCCCACCCAACTCCTATCCCCACATCCCAACAGAACCTGTGTGAGGTGATGGCAGACGCCAAGAAGAGCAAAGACGACAAGCTCGTGAAGACCGCCATTCTGCGAGTCGTCTACTACTGGTGGGTACCCCCTAGGCTCTTCCCCTACTTTGGCGTCTATTACTGGTGGGTACCCCCTAGGCTCTTCCCCTACTTTGGCGTCTATTACTGGTGGGTACCCCCTAGGCTTTTCAGCTGAATCATTTCAAGACGGAGAGCTGTGATGATCTTTGGGTGGACTTCCTTTTATGCAGCGCCTGTCAATCCAGATGCTACCTGTGTTTTCTCTCTGTTCCCTCTAGAGCGTATGTGCATGTGCTCCCAGTTCTCTCGAAATGTCTCAATCACCTCCCTACCTGCCACCCACCACTCACCTTCCCTTCTCACCACTCCTCCAGCTCCCCATCTCCCACCATCAGGTACAACTTCTCCCCGCTGAGTCGAGGCCTTGCCACGGCAGGCTATTCCAGCCTGTTCAGCGTCTGACACGTCTCAAAACACATCCCACCTCCCACCACACACCTCCCCACCCCCCATCCCCCACCTTCCACCGCCCACCATCAGGTACAACTTCTCCCCGCTGTCTCGGGGTTCCGCCATGGCCGGCTACTCCAGCCTGCTCGGCCCTTGAGTCACCTCGAAAAACCTCCCACCCACACACTCACCTCTCACCTCACCTCCCATCTTTCCCATGCCCATGTCCCCACCCCATACCATCAGGTACAACTTCTCTCCCCTGTCTCGGGGCTCAGCCATGGCCGGCTATTCCAGCTTGCTCGGTCTTTTCCTCGCCGCCGGCAAGGAGATCACCGCCAAGCCGCCTCCTGACGTTCAGCTCGACTGGGAGGCCATCTTGTCGCCGACACTGGAGGAGTTTATAACGAGGATATCCAAGTGGCTATTTGTGGGTGCAACCGACGGCTCGGATTTCCACGAGCTCTTAGATGTGCACGAGGCGTTCCCCACCGTCGGATCGGCCATCCGCATGCTGTCCAAATACTAGCCAGCTAATCACCAGTTGATTAAATGCACTGGATTAGGACTCAATACCAGCGTCAATACATTCTGTCTGGATCAGTAGCTTCAATAGAATAACAATAGTTGAAATGGTTAGGAGCTGTCTCCTATCTGGAATCGGATTCAAGTGTATATCCGTAGCGTATTCACTAACGCGATGTTTCTCTTGAGGGGCATGACACTCAGGGATAATAATTTCGGGAAACGAGTCGGCTGCGCTCCTGCGTAAACCACCCCCACCATTTTCTCCGACTGACATACCTTGAAAATACTTAATCACGAGTTGGCCTGGCCTTAGGCCGCGTAAAACACGGTTCCCTAACTATTCTCGACCAATCAACACCGCCAATTCGTACCTCTGCGACAAATTTGTTCGATCGTTTCTAGAGTCGACTCAAATATCGTTACTCATCTTCGCCGGCAGCGGCTCATGGCGTCGTATCCATCAGCAGGCCGGCCGGCGCAATCATTACCGCAAGCGGGAGCCGTCAAACCGCCTGTTAAGCAAGAGCCAGGCGGCGCAGCAGCAGGCGGAGCGGCGGGAGCCGCAGGCCCCGCGGGGGGAGCTGGCGGAAGCGCTTCCGCTTCCGCCTCCGCGAAGAAGGCGGTTCCGCCAGCCGCGTGCAGCGGGTGCGGGGCGGCGGGGGGAGACCTTTCGCAGAGCGAGTGCGGACACATGTCGCTCTGTAACGCGTGTGGACGGAGCATGGCTGAGAAGCAGGCCACGTGTCAGCAGTGCGGCGCGGTTGTGGATAAGCTAGTTAAAGAGTTCCTAGTCCGCGTTAAGCCGGTCAGCCGGGACTATTTTATCGGAAAATTTCCGCAAGGGCTGCCCGGGCTGAAAAAAGGCGATGAGAGGGGGTGGACGATGAAACGAGAAGGGGTACCTTCTGGGAAAGTTCTGTCCGAGGCTGCGCGGGTGAGCAGGTGGCTTTCTTGTCGTTTTATGCCACCCCTATGTTTCATGTTATGTCAAAAAACTCTTGAAACCACCACCACCTCACCTGCCCAATCTTCCTTTCTCCTCCCCTTTTCCGCTTTCTCACTGCAACTCCCTCTCCCCCCACCCACCCATCCTTGAGGTAGGAACCAGACGGAGAGATTGGGGAGGAGGGTTGGGGGGAGGAAGGGAGGAGAGAGGATAGGGAGAGGAGAGGGGAGAGGGAATGAGGGAGCGAGCGAGGAAGGCTTGGGGAGGGGAAGGGAGTGGTGAGGTTCATAAGTCCCACACATGCTGCCATGCTGTCATGCCCATGCCCATGCCCATGCCTATCACCATCACCATCACCATCACCCTCACCCTCACCCTCACCCTCACCCCACCTCACATGTCACTACAGGCCAAGGCGCGCACGCGACCACTGCTACTAGAGGACGACACGGGCCAGGCGTCGTATGTGGGGCACATGGAGGGTGGGTGGCAGCATTCGGCGTATTATCTGCTCGTCATGCACGGCAAGGAGTTTGTCGCCATTCCCGCTAGCCAGTGGTGAGGTGTGGTGAGGTGCGGTGTGGTGAGGTGCAGGTGCAGTGCGGTGTGGTGTGGTGAGGTGTGATCCACCTTTGTCTTTGTCATTGTACCCCCTGCATGGGAAAGGTATGAGACATGCCAGCCACTTAGCCCCTGTTGGTTCTACTCCCCATCCCCATCCCAATTCATCCCATCCCATCCCATCCCCATCTCCATCCCTATCCCCCTCCCCATCCCATCCCATCCCATCCCATCCCATCCCATCCCATCCCATCCCATCCCATCCCATCCCATCCCATGCCATGCCATCCCATCCCATCCCATCCCATCCCATCCCATCCCATCCCATCCCATCCCATCCCATCCCATCCCATCCCATACCATCCCATCCCATCCCATCCCATCCCATCCCATCCCATCCCATCCCATCCCATCCCATCCCATCCCATCCCATCCCATCCCATCCCATCCCATCCCATCCCATCCCATCCCATCCCATCCCATACCATCCCATCCCATCCCATCCCATCCCATCCCATCTCATCAGATGCCATCCCCATCCCATCCCATCCCCTCCCATCCCAGGTATGCCTTTGGAAAGCAAGCCCAGTACAAGACGCTAACCCTAGAAGAAGCAGAGCTGTGCATGCAGTCGAAACGGCGCAAGGCCGACGGGTTTCGAAAGTGGCTCACCAAGGAAGAGTCCGAGAAGCTTCTTGCGGGAGGAGGGAAGGAAGGGGGCGGTGGCGGGAGGGGAGGAGGGAGGAAGAAGGGAGGGTTGGATGATGGGCTAGGGTCGGATGATGAAGGGATGGGGGGGGATATGGAGGATGGGGAGGGGAGGAAGAGAGGGCAGGGGAAGAAGGGAGGGGATGATGACGATGATGAATTGCCCAAGGAAGAGTTCGAGCTGGAAATGGATGGGGATAAAGGTGAGCGGGACTTGACATGTGTGGCACTGAGGATGAAAACGTATGTGATGGCACGGAGGCTATTGAAGAAGAAGGGAGGGGGTGATGAGGATGATGAGGTGCCCAAGGAAGAGTTTGAATTGGAGGTGGATGGGGATAAAGGTGAGAGGGTTTTGTCGTTAGTGGTATTATTAGTATCTCGGTGAATACACGAGAGGGGGAGGGTGCATGGGATGAGGGGTTGTTGATGATGTGTCCAAGGAAGAGACTGAATCGGAGATGGACGGGGCCAAAAGTGAGAGGCCTTCTATCACTTCGTCTCCCAGTGCTACCGAGCACTTTGCCTCTCTTATGCCTTTCTCTTCACTTTCCTCTAGCACTGGGTTCACATTTCAAAGCTCGCGAACACTCTTCATCCCACTCGTGCCCTCCTCGTCCCTTTGCTCTCCCCCCCTTCTGAGAACTCACAAAAGTGCCTCCAGGAGAGGACTGGGAGCACTTCTGTAGGATTGCGAGCACTCTTCATTTCTCTCATGCCCGTCTCTCCCATGCCATTTCTCTCCGACGCCCTTCCCTCCCCTCTTTTCGTCCCCTCTCTCCCCATGCCTCCAGGTCAGGACTGGGAGCACGACGAGCTGCTTTCAGATGATGACGAGGCGACGGCGATGCAGCCAGAGGATGAGAAGGAGCAGGAGAGGTGCTTCAGATATTCCCTTACTTCATGCTTACCCCCTTGCTCCCTCCAGGTCAGGACTGGGAGCACGACGAGCTTCTTTCAGATGATGACGAGGCGCCTAAATAACAGCTTCTTATCGTATCTAGCATCAACTACATTCCTTTGCTCCCCCCAGGCGAGGACTGGGAGCACGACGAGCTCTTTTCAGACGATGACGAGTCCCTAGAGACGACCTCTCTCATCCCTCCTTCCCTTTCCTCTCTCTCCTTCCCTCCCTCCAGGCGAGGACTGGGAGCACGACGAGCTCTTTTCAGACGATGACGAGGCAACGGCAATGCAGCCAGAGGACAAGGAGGATGAGAAGGAGCAGGAGAGGAGCCCGGCTAAAGAGGTGAGCGTGAAAGCTGTTCTTGAGGCGACTCAGAAATCGAAGGATGAAGGGGTGAGAGAGTGGCTGGTCGGATGCGCAGGGCTGGTTGCACGTCCGTGCATGTGTGCCTGTGCATGTCGGTGAGCTGAAAGGGGGAAACATTTGGGTAATCAACAAACATTTTACTTCTGTTTAGAGCCTAGTTTTCGAGTTCTTTGTCTCCCTCTCCTATCCCCCCATCCCCTTCTCCGTCCCCTCCTCCTCTCTTCGTACGTCCCTTGTCCTGTAGGAGGTGTTTCATTTCATATGCCATCTCGCCACGTGTTTTTTGAGAATTCTCAAAAAACTTGTCCTGTAGGAGGTGTTTCATTTCATATGCCATCTCGCCACGTGTTTTTTGAGAATTCTCAAAAACTTGTCCTGTAGGAGGTGTTTCATTTCATATGCCATCTCGCCACGTGTTTTTTGAGAATTCTCAAAAAACTTGTCCTGTAGGAGGTGTTTCATTTCATATGCCATCTCGCCACGTGTTTTTTGAGTCTTCGTACGTCCCTTGTCCTGTAGGAGGTTTCATTTCATATGCCATCTCGCCACTCGCCACGTGTTTTTTGAGTCTTCGTACGTCCCTTGTCCTGTAGGAGGTTTCATTTCATATGCCATCTCGCCACTCTTCTCCCCTCCTCTTCACCCGCTGCCCGTCCTTTTGAGGCGCCTCAAAAGGAGGTGTTTTTTGAGGCGCCGCAAAAGGAGGTGTTTTTTGAGGCGCCTCAAAAGGAGGTGTTTTTTGAGGCGCCTCAAAAGGAGGTGTTTTTTGAGGCGCCTCAAAAGGAGGTGTTTCATTTCATATGCCATCTCGCCACTCTTCTCCCCTCCTCTTCACCCGCTGCCCGTCCTCCTCTTTAATCCGCCCGCATTTCCGTAACCTCTCTTCTTTCCCATCCCCCCCCTCTCCTCCACCTGTTCAGGAGGAGGTGGAGGAGGAGGAGGAGGAACAGGAGGGTGAGGGACAGGAGGAAGGGGAGGGGGGGGCACTAAGCCTTGCAGGCAAGGCTCTAAAGAAGCTGCTGCATAAGGCTGGGGTGGAAGGGGAGGAGGGGGTGGGAGCGAGGGGAATCGGGGGAGCAGGAGAGGAGGAGGACGGGGAGGATGATGAAGAGGATTTAGATATCGCCTTCTCGCCTATTTTCCAGAGGGGGAAGGGGGCTGGAGCAGCGGCGGGCGGGCCGGGGGCGGGAGGCGGGAAGGGGGACGGGGGAGCAGCGGCGTCTGTTGCTGCTGGTGCTGCTGCTGCGCTGAGTGCTGCTGCTGCAGCAGCGGCGGCAGCAGCAGGGAGGGGGCTGAAGCGAAAGGACCTGGAGAAGGGTGCAGCTGGGGGAGGTGCATCTGGAGCAGGAGCAGGGGCAAAGAAGGGGAAGGTGGAACCGGGGAAACGAACCCCTCCTCTGCCTGCGAAGCGGGAACCAGGGGCGGGTGGAAGTGCAGCAGGGAAGGCAGGGGGAGGTACATCTGGGGGAGGTGCATCTGGGGCAGCGGCAGGGCCGAAACCGACAGCGGTGACAGAGGAAGCGGTGAAGGGCATTCTGAGGCAGGCTCCTATCAAGAGTGCCGATCTGGTGAACCGATTCCGATCATGCCTCAAGACTGCAGAGGTGAGTCGTGGGACTTATGGAGTATTCACTTTGACTTTTGAATTCAGTCAAGTGACATAGGAGGCAGTCAAGGGAATTTTAAGGCAGGCTCCTATCAAGAGTGCCGATCTGGTGAACCGCTTCCGATCATGCCTCAAGACTGCAGAGGTGAGGCATGCCGCGTGAGGTCAAACCATACCATCATGTCTCATAGTAGCCTGCTGCAAGCAGCTGGCTCCCATCAAGACTGCCGAGGTGAGTCGCATGACAGAGGAGGCAGTGAAGGGCATTTTGGGGTAGTCGCCTATCAAGAGTGCTGATCTGGTGAACCGCTTCCGATCGTGCCTCAAGACTGCCGAGGTGCGTGGTGATGCACGGGCTATGGATGCATGGGCTAGGGATGCATGGGCTAGGGATGCATGGGCTAGGGATTCTAAGGCAGGCTCCTATCAAGAGTGCCGATCTGGTGAACCGCTTCCGATCATGCCTCAAGACTGCAGAGGTGCGTGGAGGGCGATAGATGGGTAAGTTTTATTCAACTGTTGTCTGAGTGTACAGTCTGGAGAATTGAGGAGGTTTGCAGCAGGGTATGGTATGGTACTAGGCCAAATTCACACCCACCTTAAAGCCCACCTAAAAAACCACCTTGTGTGGTCCATGCTTTGATTCTTTCCTCCTCCATTCTTTTCGCAGGATAAAAAACGATTCCAGGAGATTATCAAGAGGGTGGGCAAGATCCAAGCAGTGAACGGAGAGAAGTTCATCGTGCTGCGCTGACCTGTTGGGGAACAGTTGGGCAGCTGGACAGTTCGGATGACTGGTTTGGGCAGCTGAAGAGAGCTTACCAATCACAGCTAGCAATTCTCTAGGTGCTTAGATGACTGGTCAAGATGGATAAGTGTGCTGCCGAGCAGCAGTTGAGGAAGAGTACAGTCAAGAGGGATAACAATGTACAGTATTGTTAAGAGATTGCTTGTTACTGACTTCAAAAGTTGCGTGAAAGGGTGAAGTGAAACACTTGGAGGGTGAATTCGGACTGCCATATCAATTGTTCAAAGACAGGGTACATCACATCATTATATCATTGCCGCTTCCCTGATGTGTCCGTTGTAGCATTCTAGAAGACAAAGCATTCATATCTTCCAGAACCTCCATGGATTTATCCCACTCTCCATTCATCTCATAGCTCTCTATTAGTGTTCTGTAAGTTACCCCATCCGGCACACACCCCTGACGCTTCATCCTCGAAAATATTTCTTCTGCCCGCTGCCACTGCCCGCAGGCACCGCAAGCCCAGAGCAGCGCTGTGTAGGTGTATTTGTCAGGAACCACCCCGAGCCCGGGCATCGCCTCGAAGAATTTCATGGCCTGCCCGAACTGGCGGGCACGTGCGTACGCTCGCACCATTGAAGCACACACCACTGCGTTTGGCCTTTAGCAAGAAGAAAATAATAGATGGGCAAGAATCGGAGGGAATGGGAGAAAGAAAGGCAGAGCAAGAAACAGGAAAGGTGTAGAATGGAAGGAAGAGGGTGTAGGTAGGATGGAAGGAAAAGTGAGGAACAGAAATCCCCATAACACCAATGTTCATTTGATCAGATGCATCTGATGCACTAGTCAGCGCAGGTCAGCCTACCTGCGCAGGTAGGCTGGGTGCATCTGATGCACCTGATGCATTTGGTAGGCTGACCTGTGCATCTGATGCACCTGATGCATCTGGTAGGCTGACCTGTGCATTTGATGCACCCAGCATCGCATCAAACCTCCTCTCGCAAGCTCGCCTGCCCCACTCGCCCAACACCCACCCACCCCATCAGCACCCCATGGGTCACCAGAGGGAAAGAGGAGGCGGGTGGGGTGTGGAGGGGGAAGAAACCACATCTACCTCCTTCAGTCTCACCTTATCCCTGCCAACAGCATTTCATCAAACGCTTCTCTCCCCAACCTTGCTTTCCCCGCCCGCCCATACCCCCCCACCAGCACCCGATACATCACCACAGAGGGGGGACATACCACCTCTTCTACCTCCTTCAGTCTCACCTTATCCCTGCCAACAGCATTTCATCAAACACCTCTCTCCCCAATCTTGCTTGCCCCGTGCGCCCATACCCCCCCACCAGCACCCCATAGGTCACCACAGAAGAAGGGCACACAGAGAGGGGGGGAGCGCCCACTTCTATTCCCATGCTTCTCACCTTATTCCTGCCATCATCATCGCATCAGACGCTTCTCTCGCCAGTTGTGTTTGCCCCGTGCGCCCATACCCCCCCACCAGCACCCCATAGGTCACCACAGAGAGGGAACCGCCCACTTCTGCCCCCATAGGTCTCACCTTATCCCTGCTATCAACATCTCATCGAAAGCTTTTCTCGCCAGTCGTGCTTGCCCCGCCCGTCCATAACCCCCCACCAGCACCCCATATGTCACCACAGAGAGGGGGTCGCCCACTTCTACCCCCATAGGTCTCACCTTATCCCTGCTAACAACATCGCATCAAACGCTTCTCTGGCCAGTCGTGCTTGCCCCGCGCGCCCATACCCCTCCACCAGCACCCCACAGGTCACCACAGAGGGGTGGCACCCCAGGGGAGTGGTATCCCCTGTATCCTCACCTTATTCCTGCAGCCAGCATCGATTCAAACGCTTCTCTCGCCAGTCGTGCTTGCCCCGCCCGTCCATACCCCCCCACCAGCACCCCATAGGTCACCACAGAGGGGTGGCACCCCGCCTCCTGCATCTCCTGCACGAGACTTCCCAGAAGCTTCCACTTGCCGGCCTTGGCACACGCGTGCAGTGCAGCGTTCCAGGCAGATGGGAGGGGAGAGGATAGCAGTAGACTAGATGGTTCCCATGCTGTTGCTGCTCCTGGTGCTGCTGCTCGTACTGCTTCTTGTTCCTCTTCCTTTCCCCCCTTCTCTTTATGCCCTCCTCGTCCCCCTCTAGTAGCCCTCAGGGCTCCTATAGCTTTCTCCCACTGCCCGCCCTTTGCATAAGCGCTGATCAATGCCGCCCAGGAGACCTCGTTCGGCATCACCCCGTTTGTCTGCATCTGGGTGAACAGTGCCTCCGCCTGCTGCCACTCCCCCGCCCGCGCGCATGCAGTCAGGACGACTGTCCACGTCACCACATTGGGACGACAATCTGACGTGGCGTCTGACATGGCTTCCAAGCAAGACGCTGAGGTGGCACCTGCCATGCCCATTCTCTCCTCCTCCCTCCTCTCTTTACTTCGCCCGCTCACTACCTTCTCCTCCTCCCCCTCACCCTCCCCTTTTCTCTCACCCTCCCCTTTCCCCTGACCCTCGTCACCCTTCCCTTCTCGCATCATCCTTCTCAAAACTTCCCTTGCCACGTCAGCACGCCCTGCCATCGCACATGCTGACATCACCGCCGTCCACGTCACCACGTTCGGCCGAACTGCCGGCTTTCCCCGAACCTCCAGCTTTCCCCGAACCTCCAGCTTCGGCTGAACCTCAACACCTCGAGGCACGGAAGAGGCTTTCCCAGTCCTGCCCATCTCTTTTCCAATTGGCTGCTGCTGCATCCTAGTCAGCAAACGGATGGCGTTCTCCCATTGGCCAACGCTCGCACATGCTGAGATGGCAGCAGTGTAGGCTGCCACGTCAGCATAGAGATCAGGGGAAGGGTGGGAATCGAGACGGTCGAGCAGACGGAGAGCTGGAGCCGGTTGTGCTGACCTGGCACAGGCTGTGATGACGTCAGTGAACATGGCAGATGAGGTGGCAAGGGGAGGGTGGTGTGCGGAAAGAGGGGGAGGAGGAGAGGCAGCAGCACGAACACCACCACCATAACCACCACCACCAGCACTGACATCAGTGCCGCCACCAGTGGCAGGACCAAGACTAGAACCAGGAACGGCATTGGCAGCAGCACTAGCACCATCAGCAGCAGCACTAGCGGAATAACCAGGACCAGAACGAGAGGAACCAGAACCACCAGCAGCAGCAGCTCCATCACCACCATCACCAACAGCAGCAGCAGCAACAAGGGAAGCAACAAAAACATCGTCAGCAGCAAGCAGCAGATCTCTGGCGAGTTGCCACCTGCCTGCTCGCGCGCATGCTCTCAGCACCAACGCGAACTGACTGCTCGTTGGCATGCGCTGCTGCCCATGCTGCTGATGATGACGATGGTGCGCGTGAGACAATGCGGCTGCTTCTGCTACAGCTGCTGCTGCTGCTGATGCTGCTGCTGCTGCTGCTGCTGATGCTGCTGCTGCTGCTGCAGCCCCGTATGCTGAGAGGTGGTGGTAGATGGCAACCGCTCCCTTCCAGTCCTCGCACTGGGGGGAAGAGGTGGGGGGGGCAGGAAGATGAGCAATGTGAAGGAGAAGGGGGAACAGGCGGGACGAAAGGAGATTAGAGAGCTTACTAGGGCTGCGCAGATAGGAAGGAGTACAGGCTCATGTACCCTCGTTTTCTGTCCAACCATGAAGTTTCTTGGAATCTCAACAGCAATTCCAGTATAAGCTCTCACTGCCCCCTCCTTCCACCACGCAGTCACAAATTAACACAATTACCACTCCTCTCCTTCCTCCCCTCCCTCCTTCCCACCCACATACATTCCCCTCCTCCGCCCTCTCACCTGATAACATGCCTCCAGCATCACGTCATAGATATCCTCTGGAAGCAACACGTGCTTCCCCCTTTTTCCCCCTTCCCCTTACCATTTCCCCCCCTTCCCTTCTTGCATCCTCACCTGCACACACGCCCCCAGCATCACGTCATATATGTCCTCTGGAAGCAACACGTGCTTCCCGTACGCAACTACCACCCCTCCCCACTTTCCCGCTTCCCCAGGGCCCCCGTTCACTTCCCACGCTCTCACCTGCACGCACGCCCCCAGCATCACATCATATATGTCCTCTGGAAGCAACACGTGCTTCCCGTACGCACCCCCCTCTCCTCCCCCCTTCTCGCCCTCGCGTTCCCCCTCCCCTCCCCAACCTCTCTGCTCCCAGCTCCCCACTTCCAACTTCCCCTGAGGCTCCCCCTCCCCCCGGTCTCCGCCGCCAGCGCCCTGTACTTGTGCCCCATCTTGCACGTTCGCCCCCACTTGCACTGGAGCCACCCCCCACTGCCTCTCCATGGCGCGGAGCCACCGCCAGCAGTCCCCCATGCGCGCGCCCTTGCTGGCATGCCCAGGGGGAGTTGGGGGGGTGGGGGGGTGGCGGAAAAGTCGTTGGGTGCTTTGGTGTTGATTCTGAAAGCGTTAGCGCGACCTCAAATGACATGTGAGCCAACTCAAGAGTCACCTCAAATGACATGTGAGCCAACTCAAAAGTCACCTCAAATGACATGTGAGCCAACTCAAAAGTCACCTCAAATGACATGTGAGCCAACTCAAAAGTCACCTCAAATGACATCTGAGGCAACACAAAGTCATCGCCTTGAGAGCACTCACCCAAAGCATGAGATCAGCGTGGTGTAAATCCGCTCATTCAACTCCACTCCTTCTGCTTCAAACGCCACCGCCACCGCCTTTGCGCCCTCCCAATCCCTCACCTCTAAACCTCGCTTAAACCCTGTCTCATCTGCTCCAGACACAGCAGGAAGCCTCCTATCTGCGGCTCTCCCGCCATTTCTGTTATCCGTTATAAGCTCCCCGCTATGCGATACTGCTCTGCCTCCCACGATCACGCCAAGCAGCAGGTTAAGCGTCCGGTTATCAACGGCTAGGCTATGGCGCCTGACACACTCAATTACCTCTGCTGTTCCCCTCAACCCTCGGGCTCTGATCTCCGCCGCCGCTTTCACCGCCCGCTCTCTCGCACCCTCTCTCCCACGGCCCATCCCCCCACCCATGTTGTTTCTAGCATCAGCAGCAGTGTCGTTTCCCCAGCGTCTGCTGCTGCTGCTGCTGCTGGTCTGGCCTGGGGTGCTCGCCATTAATGGCATTGGAAATGTGTCGACAACCGTACACCCCTCTGTCCATGCACGCTTCCCTACCTCCTCACCACGCCTCTTGACCCATCTAGGCGTTCCCACCTCCTCCGCAGGTCTCTCGGCATCGGACGATCTTGCTACGCTAGCCGGCGTAGCTGCGGAACGCCTTTGCCGACTCTCCCGATCTGCCGTCCTTTGCCGGTCTGGCGACGCTGACGCATTCTCATAAGCTTTTTCGGCAAGAAGCTCCGCCCTAAGCGGATCTGAAGTCGCTGAATTCGGCTCAAATCGATCGCGCGTTTTCAACACCGCATTCCGTCCCTGATTGGCAGGCTTCCTCACCAAACCGTGTGGTTCCTTGTCTTGAACCACGACCAGGGCTTTAACCTTATCGCTTCTGGCTGCATTCACCCACCTGTCCCCAAAGACTCTGCTGTCTCTGCTTTCTCCGCTGTCTATGCTGTCTCTGCTGTCTCTGCTGTCTCTGCTGTCTCTGGTTTCTCTGCTTTCTCTACCCGTCCTGATAATTCCGTCGAATTGCTCATCTGTGGAAGGCCATAGATGCGTGTTTGATGAATCACCGACGGCGATAGGCTCCGTAGCAGGCTCGTCACGCTCACTGCCAGATGCCCTTCTCCTAATGGTCAGTCCCACAGGTTTCGTCGGCTCAGGATCGCGATCGTAGTCGCTCGTTCGCCATTCATTCCTGGTTACCATAACATGATTCGCGGCTGAATGAACTCCTCGCGACGGGTGCATCCCGGAAATGGCCCAGAAAATAGGCTTGGGGCCATGAGGTGTGACGCTGAGTGCCAATGGCATTGTCTTCCCTGATCTAGGCAGCAAAGAGTTGGTCTGCTGCCACTTTATAGATCCGAAAAATATTTGTTTCGTAGCTCATTACCTACTCGTGTACACACCGCACTAATTATGACTACGGTATCTGGAACCATAGGCTGATCAGCACCTAATATAGGCCTCAACTATCACAGGCTGATCAGCACACATTTTGTTGCAGCCGCACAACGAACAGCACACACACTCAACTGATGACTGAATGTCACCAAAGAATTTGTACGCGTAAAGAGCGTCTCGCATTAATTTCAGCCCTTGTATCCTAGATATTGCATCACAGCATTTTGTCATGTGGTTTGATGGTTTGTGGGGAGACCACTTTCGATATCCTCTGATATTTTGCGATACAGAACGTTTCGGATGTTTTCAAAACGTTTTAGAGAGATATAGTACGTTGTTTCATCAGTGATTTCATCCCCCAAGTAAACGGGGAATATCGATTGCACATCGAATATCCTCAAACGGAAGTCCACACATTTTCGGTCGATTTTGATGGGTCACATCAAAATCACCACCATCCACAGTCACCACGTGTGGACAGAACGTCCTCCTTTCTTCCTGCTGCGGTCTGCACGGAAACGAAACTGCAACATCATCCATTCACCTCCAGTCGCAGCTGCGCGCCAAGCAAGCCTCCACTTTTAGCGGGTTTCCAATCGGCGTGATTGATTGTGCCACGATCCACCGTAGCCACTCACGTGGCTCCACATTGGGAGGGATGCTAGCTCTTCCTCGTGTAAACATTCCTCCTCAGCGGATCACAATCCCTTTTTCATGCCATGTCAGCTGACCTGACATCTGCCCGATCCTTCTCCACCTCCTTCCTCCTCCCCTCGGCCCATGTGACCCCCCTCCGAGAACTGCTACTCTCCACTTCCTCCCCACCACTCCTGTTGGAACTCCCTAGGGATGAAGGCGATTGTCGGCTCATTTTCAGCGCTGGACTACCCTTGCTAGGTTGTCATTGACTTATGCTGTTTCGTGCCAAGCATTGCAAACGTCGCCAACCACCATCGTTGATCCATCTGATATATTTTTATTTCATGCTTCCAGTTTTCCAACGGGTTTGTCATTAGACCTCTTAGCTATGGCCGCCTTCTCAGCGAGCTCCGTAGTCTTGAAGGATTGCGCTTGTTATGGACCACTAAAGAGTGAAGAGCAGGTAGTTCAGAAAGGACGAACCGTGCGCTCGTCAATGTCCTCGATGTTTGGAAATAGTCAATGTTTAAAGCTCTCTACTAAAGTCTGTTGCAATCGCGAAGTCCGACGACCGAAGGCCTGGCGCATGGAAGTGGCCGATCCGCTTGAGAATTTTCGCGATTCTTTTGGAAATGACTGTGTTGTGGAGAGGAGGGCTAGGAAGGTGCGTCTTGGCTGTTCTTGGCTCGTTCTATGTCGTGTTTTTATACCCTTCGTATTCGTAGCGGGCCTCACCCACTTTCCATTGATTTTGCAGGAATTAGAAATGAGCGAGTCATACGTGGTCGTGTCGTCTGAGGTGAAAGAGCTGCAAGACCGGATGGCAGCTCTGGTGGCAGCAGAACATTACGAGGAAGCATGCGTGGTAGGCTGCATTCGAGATTATGCTTTTGTAGCACCGGAGTTTCCAAATTAGTCATTTACGCTGTTTGTCTCTTGCAGGTCCGCGACAGCCTAGCCATGATGGAGTTTCGGAAGCGTTTGTTAGAGATTCAGGCCAAACCGCGCATCATGTACCGTGTGGGAGATGTCATCGTGCACCGCAGATACGGTGAGCGTTTGTAACAATTTTCATCTCATTATCACTCTTCATCACGGCCAGTCCAATAGATCATCCCTGCTCACCCCCTTCCGTGTACAGGCTATCGCGGCGTTGTGTACGGTCACGATCCTGAGTGCTCAGCCCCTTCCAGCTGGCAAGATGCGATGAAAGTGGACCTATTGACACATGGGAGAAGCCAGCCATTCTACCACGTCTTGGTAGACACTCGAGATAGAGCAGGAGGTGTCTCCACTTACGTCGCACAGGAAAATCTCGTAGCCCAGAGTGATGCTTCACCAGTCGTTCACCCCTGGATTCCCAAGGTGAGTTAGGTTCTGGTTCTGTTCTCTCCGTTACGCATCCACGAAAGGGGAGCCTGATTGTGGATCTTTTGTGTGCTCGTGCAGTTTTTCGTGGGTTTCCAAGATGGCACGTATGTCCCTGGAAAGAAGCTCCGGCAAGTGTATCCCAATGATTGGTAGAGGCCAATTACTGCTCTCCAACCGTTTTTTACCTGTAATCCAAGGAGTGGTTATTCCTGGTAGGTAGTATTTAACCATGCACGAAAAGGCCGAAACAGTAGCAGCAGTGCCTGCTTGGAAGCTCAGCTGGGCTGTGAACTGCTTTGCCCATCCGAGCATCGAGATTATAGCTGTTTGTGTGCAATGTTTTTGTTTGAAGTACTCAATGGTTTTCCACGCTGCAGATAAATGCAGTGGCTGAATTATCTTGCTGGATCATAATAAGGTATGACGTAAAGTAGACAACTGGTATATACGTGTAATGTAACATCTAAAGTAGAGAATAGTAGTGTCTGGGTCAACTTGGTCATCCTGCTTGTACGGTGTTTGCATACTGCCTGCTCAGTGTGTACACGCTGTTCCTCCACCATGGAGTGATAGGACATCTACAGCACAGCATCTTGGGGGCTCCTGCATTTTCATTGGATGTGCCACGAAAGCAAGTCATGTCTTGTCCCACGTGGAGCCAGCTCAGCCCGCCTCGAGCTTGCGGGACTTTCTCCTGGCCTTTCTTGTGCCTCTGTTGCGTCCAGCGCAGTGACACCCAGCTTTTCCGGCTATGCGCTGGACTTACCACAGCCCACCCAGCAACCGCCAAGCATTTCGGTAAAGCTGCCCCAGCAGGGTGATCTCAAATTTTGACCATTTGCCAGTTTCTAGAGTCACCAATCTGTACGGTATGCAACATAGCGTCACGTGGTTCGCCAAGTTCTGAATCCCATTCTACACGCGCTGATTTTTCTTCGAGCAACTTCGTCCCCCAATCTAGATTTTTTCGCGACGCGTGGTCTGTGGGTAGGACATTCCCCAGAATTCACGTCGCCAAGCTGTTTTCGGAATATGTTCCTGTTTCTCACACGATTTCCTCCCATTTCGTCCGAGCCGAACAGTTCCCTCTTGTCAAGCTCTCCCTTGCGCTGCAAGCGGGATCTGCGTTGTACGTACATCCATTGCTCCACGCAGCAATAACTAACACCCAACGTCAATTTCAGCGCGGACCCATTCGCTTCCCGCTTCTTACTCCAGCACTTTGGAGCATCCGTACCGCAGCATCTTGAAAGACAGATGTCATTTTCCGTTTGTTTACATAGATTTCGTCAAGCTTAGGTCCCGTCACGTGGCTGGTCCAACCATTCGCGAGAGTCCCTTCAGACACCCGTATCCCGTCATGACATTACGGAAGTAGGCAGAGACTAACAGAGGCTACGCATTTTTCAAGGGACGAAGATAGCAAGCAGAGGTTAGGCTAGACGGAGGAGACGTAACGTCACCACGACGTTACATTCAGCTCACTGGGCGAAGCTACGGCATTGTAATACGTAGCGTAGCTAGCAGCTAGCAGCGAATCTGAGCCGTAGATTCAGTCACCCCGCGACTCCGTGGATGGTTCAAATGGTCTCGCACGAAGGCACGAGCGGCACCAGCGGAGCCAACAGCTCCACCGTGAACGTATTCGTCACCGGCCAGCCAGGTACTTCGATATAATCACACCCGATACCGTAGTGCCATCACATACGCCAGGGACCTCTTTGTAAGCACGCCGACTACTGTCCTGTGCTGCACCGCCCACTATTTCACATGGAACAGCTAGACTAACCAGCATAGCGATCGCGTGTCGCTACCAGATGCGTCTAAAACAACAGACTATATCAGTGTAACACCTCAAGCTGCTGCTCGTCATGCCGCATCCTGCTGCGCAACCATCGGTTGAAACGAACCGTAAGCAGCACAGGGGGACTACTCAAGCTTGACCCATCCGAAGCATCTGAAAACGCGTCTTGGTTTGCTTCCCATGCGATTCCACTCGTGTCCTCCTCTCACCTCTTCACCGTCCCGTGCATGTTCCTCAACCGCCAGTGTTATGCTTCCCCTTCCCCCGCCTCCCGCCTCCCGTTTCCCCCGTTTTGGCGCTGCGCGTGTGCATGACATGCGTGGGCGCGTGGGCATGACATGCGTGGCGCGCGCATGACACGCGTGGGCTCGTACACGGCATGCGTGGGCGCGTGTGCTCCAGGCATCGGGAAAACTTCGTGAGTGCACAGACACCCCTTCTCCTCTTATCTCATCTATGCATCATCGTGCCCTCAATGCCCGGTAGATGAACTGAATCTCTGTAGCGGTTACCGTTTGTCAGTTCTGCTGTCTTCCCGTTGGTGCTCGCACACGCCTGATGTCTTGGCGGTGACAGGCTTTTTTGAGTGGTTACGTTATTGCGAATACACTGGAAGATTTGTTTTTTTCCTGTGGGATCGTATTGCGTGTACACTACAGGTTGGTGCTGAAGGTGGCGAAGCGCTTACCGCAGCATCTAGTAGCGGGGTTCTACACCGTTGAGGCCAAGGCGGAGGGCACGGGGGAACGACTCGGGCTGGATGTCAGTGAGTGTGGGAGGGGCGGGGGAGGGGAGGGGAGAGGGATGGAGGAGGAGGTGAGTGAGAGGGGAGGAAAGAGGTGAGTGGGGGGAGAGTAAGGAGGAAAGTGAGGGCGGAATAAGGGGACGAGAAGGTGAGGGAGAGGAGAGGGCTGGTAGGCAGCTTGAGCTGGAGGAAAGCGGTCCAAGGCTCCGTGCTGTACCCCATCCTTACCATACATCCATCTTTTCTCCTCCCCCCCCTTCCCCTCCCCCTTCCCCTCCCCCTTCCCCTCCCCCTTCCCCTCCCCCTTCCCCTCCCCCTTCCCCTTCCCCTCTCCCGATCTTGTTTTCAAATCAAACTCCGTCCATTCATATGTTGTCGTTTCTGCTCTCCCCCCTCCGTTTTCCCCTTTCTCCCGCCTCCCCCTCCTCCGGTTACAGTCACTTTCGCGGGCGAGCGCGCGCCTCTATGCAGATTACGAAGAGGCTGCGGACCCAAGGTGGGAAGGGGGGGCTGGGGGATGGCAATGTGAGGTGGGGAAGAGGGAGGGGGATGGAAAGGCATGGCGGCGAGCGCGCGCCTCTATGCAGATTACGAAGATGCGGACCCAAGGTGGTGGGGAGGGCAATGTGAGGTGGGGAAGAGGGAGGAGGGGGGAGAGGAAATGGAAGGTGAGATAAAGGGGGGTAAGTGGATAGAAGGGGATGGAAAGGCATGGCGGCGAGCGCGCGCCTCTATGCAGATTACAGAGAGGCTGCGGACCCAAGGTGGGGGGAATGGAGGATGGGAAGGGGGGAAACAAAGGGGGAGGTGGGGGAACCGGGAGTGGGGGACGGGGAAAAAGGGGAACGGAGGGGGAGACGGGATGGGAAACCAAGGCAGATTAAGGAGAGAGTGTGGTTTTATCCACGGGTGGGGGAATGGAGCTTTGGGTTGTAAAGGGGGAGATCAGCATGTCAGACATGGCAATAGATGAGCTCAACACGTCTCACTGCTCTCTCTCTCACTCTGCCTCTCCAACTTCTCCCCCTCCTCAGATCGGCAAGTACTATGTGGCAATAGACGAGTTCGAGCGGGTAGTGTTGCCGAATTTTCAGTATGTCGCATGCTGTCTCTTTCACTTTCTACCTCTCGCCCTCCCTCCCTCACTTCCTCAGATCGGCAAGTACTACGTGGCAATAGACGAGTTCGAGCGGGTAGTGTTGCCGCACCTCATGCCGTCAGATACAACGCGCCTGCACATCGTGGACGAGGTGAGGTGGCAGGGATGGGTTCATGGGTCCACCATTTCACACCTTATGCCGTCAGATACAACGTGCCAGCACATCGTGGACGAGGTGAGGTGGCAGGGATGGGTTCATGGGTCCACCATTTCACACCTTATGCCGTCAGATACAACGCGCCTGCACATCGTGGACGAGGTAGGCTGGTGCTTGTAGCTCCATGAATCATCCATGCCATGCCGCACCTCATCCCGCACCTCATGCCGCACCCCATGCCGCACCTCATGCCATCAGACGCCACACGTCAGACAGGCTGGTTTCCTCGCCCTTGTACCTCCCCCTTCCCTCTCCATCTCCCTCCAACCTCTTTCCCCCTCTCTCTCTCCCCATCCAGATCGGGCGCATGGAGCTCTGCAGTGACAAGTTCAGAGACGCTGTGCTCAGCCTGCTGTCCTCCGCCCTCTCTCCCTCCCCTTCTGCCTCCCTCTCCCTCTTCCCCCTCCCTACATTCCCCTCCTCTCTCCCCATCCAGATCGGGCGCATGGAGCTCTGCAGTGACAAGTTCAGAGACGCTGTGCTCAACCTGCTCACCTCCCCGTGTGTCCCTCTTACCCCCTTTTCTGCCTCCCTTGCCACTCCCCTCTCACCAGATCGGGCGCATGGAGCTCTGCAGTGACAAGTTCAGAGACGCTGTACTCAACCTGCTCGCCTCTCCCGTTGCTGTAAGCTCTTTCATTCTCACCCTAGTCCCTGCTGCACAGCCTTTAGGATTTCCATCCGATTCCATCGGTTCTAATCTTCTTCAATACACTCTTTCCTCCTTTGCATTCGTCACTCGTTCACACTTCTCACTGCTCTCTTGCTCGCGTTGGTGTGTGTCTGCAGGTGTTTGGCGCCCTGCCCGCCCCTCGTTATGGTCACACATTGGAGCTAGTAGAGGAAATCAAGCAGCGCGCCGACACAGGTAATCAAAAATCGTGTGCCAAAAATTTGTTGCACAGGATTCTGTGTTGGAAATCCGGCAGAACTGAATTGGCCGAGTTAAGCAACACATTTGTGCCCAGTTCTTGGTGTGTCTCAAAACTTCATTTCATCCTTTTTTTTGTCTAATTTTAGGACGAATTTCCCACGTTTCCTCTTGTGAGACTAGTGAACTCCTCTCTTTTCTGGAACGTTGCATGTATCCCACCCTCTCTTCCAGGTCGTTATGACTACCCTCTCGTGCCTTCTTAACGCTCCCTTGCCCCAAACATTCTGAAAACTTTCTCCTCTCGTCTTACTCTCCACACCCTATCCGCCTTATCTTCTCTCCCCCCTTCCCATCAGCCGTGCTCACACTCACCAAGGCCAACCGGGACGCCACAGCAGTGTGCAGATAGGGGAGCTTCTGCTCACTTATCCCTCTCCCCCCTTATTCTTCCCTTCCCCCTTTCCCCCTCACCCTGACCAAGGCCAGCAGGGACGCCACAGCAGTGCAGATAGAAGAGCTTCTCACTCGCCCCTATCCAGGAAGGGGAGAAGCAGCGACGGGGGGAGCGACCATGCGCTCATGCCTCATGCCATTCCTCCTTATCCTCCCTTATCCCCCTCACTCATCCCCCCCCTTTCAGCCGTGCTCACACTCATCAAGGCCAACACGGACGCCACAGCAGTGCAGATAGAAGAGCTTCTCACACGGCTCATCCAGGAGGGGGAGAAAGGGGCGGGAGGGGAGCCGCTATGCCCTCATGCCTCATGCCCTCCCTCCATATCCTTCCTTTTCCCCCTACCTTATCTCCCCCCATTCAGCCGTTCTCACGCTCACCGGGGCCAACCGGGGCGCCACAGCAGTGCAGACAGAAGAGCTTCTCACATGGCTCATCCAGGAGGGGGGGAAAGGAGCGGGAAGGGGGGGCGACCATGCCCTTATGCCTCATGCCATTGATCCTTATCCTCCCTTTTCCCCCTCCCCATTCAGCCGTGCTCACACTCACCAAGGCCAACCGGGACCCCACAGCAGTGCAGACAGAAGAGCTTCTCACACGGCTCATCCAGGAGGGGGGGAAAGTGGCGGGAAGGGGGGGCGACCATGCGCTCATGCCTCATGCCATTGATCCTTATCCTCCCTTTTCCCCCCTCTCTTATCCCCCCCCATTCAGCCGTGCTCACGCTCACGAAAGCAAATAGGGACGCCACAGCAGTGCAGATAGAGGAGCTGCTCACACGGCTCATCCAGGAGGGGGAAAAGGGGGCGGGGGGGGCGCTAGGGGAAGAGGGGGAGGGGGACGGGGGAGTGGGGGGAGTGGGTGGGTTGGGGGGAGATGGTGGGGGGAATGAGGGCGAGGGGGAGAGCAACATAGGAGTGGGTGGTGGGGGTCTAGGGTACGGAGGGGTGAGGGGAGCAGGAACTGGTGCAGCGAATGCCGTTCCGGCAGCGGCAGCAGGTTTGGAGACCGGAGCGGCAGGTCCGGCGTTGATAAGCGGAGGTTCGGGAGCGGGGATGAATCATGTGCTAGCTGCAGTGCAAGCCCATGTGGCCAATGCGGACCTCTTTGATGGGTCTCATACTGTTCATGGGTAGAAAGAAATGTTTTCCTACTATTCAGGGGAGGTAAGATTGAAACAGGGAAAGGTTTTTTTTTTTTTTTTTTTTTTTTTTTTTCGGGGTTCGAACTTAAAGCTAGCAGCTAAAATAGTGACCCCCCCCCTTCTAGTGGATCCACTTTTTAATCTAGAACTAACTTTTTAATGCTTTTGACGGTTGAAGCGTTGTTCTGTTTTGTTTTTCAGACGCGTTCAAGTCTTCAGTGATTTTCACAAAAAATGTCGCAAGCATGTACAAATGCGACGTGCGATTCCCGATTACACGAGGGGGCCAATTTCAACAGGTTTTGCATGTGCAATTCACGCACAACAAACGCCTCAGACATGGACCTGCTGAAGCGGCACAAACAGCGTAGGAAAAGCAGAAATGCATAAAAAACAGAGAAGTTTTATGTTAGGAATAAAAAAACGAAGAACGAGAAGGAAACGACAACGCACGTAGAGAGCTGATTGAGCGAAAATTGTGGAATGGTAGGGTGTGGGGAGATGGGAGGGGAGAAAGGAAGGGTGACTTGCAGGCATTTCGGGGCGAGCGCGAAGGTGCCAAGATGGGTGATGGGAGGGGAGAAACGAAGGGCGACGGGCAGGCATTTCGGGGCGAGCGCCAGGGCGCCGAGGTGGGTGACGGGAGGGGAGAGAGGAAGGGCGATGACTGTTTCGAGGGAGAGAGGATAGGCGACGGGAGAGATAAAGGGCGACGGGAGAGAGGATAGGCGACGGGAGAAAGGAAGGGCGACGGGAGAGAGGATCGGCGACGGGAGAGCTTAAGGGCGACGGGAGGGAGGGCAACGGGAAAGAGAAAGGGCGACGTGACAGAGAAAGGGCGACGGGAGAGAGCAAGGGCGACGGGAGAGAGAAAGGGCGACGTGACAGAGAAAGGGCGACGGGAGAGAGAAAGGGCGACGGGGGAGAGAAAGGGCGACAAGGGAGAGAAAGGGCGACGGGGGAGAGGATAGGCGAGGGGAGATAGGAAGGGCGGAGGGAGGGGCGACGGGATGGGCGACGGGAAGGGCGACGGGATCGACGACGGGATGGGCGACGGGATGGGCGACGAGATGGGCGATGGTATGGGCGACGGGATGGACGATGGGATGGGCGATGAGAAGGCAGCGGGACGAGCCACGGAAGTGCGGCGACAATCGCGTGGGTAAGGGAGGCGAGAGGAGATCGCGTGGGCGACGGGACGGAAAAACGAGGGCGCAAAGGGACAGACTGAAAAGCTTAAACTCATAGCTTTCGGATACAACACGACGGACATTCTGATTAATACATGTGTAGATAACGAGGGCCTAAGTTGAGACATAGCCTATGCCTAGCCTAGCTACTTAGAACTTCCGACGCAAAATTGGTAGTAGTTCACCCCATCCCAAGTTGAAACATCAGTTGGGCCCAAATCGCTTGGACAGACTGAAACGATCGCCTGTGCAATTGTCAGAGAAAGGGCTTAGCAATGAGAAGTGCGACGTCACACATTAGGAAAATGTCTCAATTTTGGCTGGAACCAATCAAAGGTGTTCGATTTGCACGTCCGCAGCGTTTGAAACGGTACAAACTTCTCAGTCCGTCTAAACTTTGTTTCGCCCGGCAAACTCGTCCCTGCGCCCTTTCAAGTTGGGTTTGGGTTCACTATTTTGCATCTCGGTTTTAACGTGTTGGGCGTATGCCACTTCTCGGGTTTACCGGCACCGTAGATTAGTCACGTACTATGCTTGGGGTCCGGTATATGGTCCATCTTTCGGACCTTGTGTAACACGTATGGCACGATTAGTGCCAATATACGCTACATTGCTGATATCTTACGCACTGTTAAAGCTTAGCCAGCTCACGGAAACAAGTTTGACTGATTTAATGGCTGGCAGAAATATGTACCACATTTTTCACACATATCAAGTCTGCATGCTGCAGCTGCAGGTGTTACTTCACACGGCAGCAGAACCAGGCACAGAAATGACGTTGGGTTGAAAACTTTTCAGCAGCACCACCAGCAGCAGGTGCAGAAACGGCCGCCTCGCCAAGCCAAAGCTGGAGTGTCAGGGCAGCGTTCATGAGAGAATATTTCTGAGGTGGTTGACCACGTGATACGCGGTTGAGAGGCTTGCAGAGCAATTCAGAGCCTTATAGAGGAGGACCATACTGCAATGGGCAAGGGGAGAAACACAAAGGAGTCGGCACACATTTCGCATGTTTGTTCAGTACTCATCACCTTCCTCAAAAGCAACTGTTACACACTTCATAATCTTTACCTGTAGCAAGAGCGCATGCCCCAGTGTACCAACCGCTGCTGTGACCTGCTGGCTCAGCTCGCCTCGCTTGCAACCTTCTAGTGGATTCGAAGGCAACTCTTACAGGGAACATGATCAACACACCTGTAGCAGTATGGAATGCCCCGGTGTGCCGACACCTCTGCAGAGCAGCACAAAAGACTACCTTTTTTCCAAAACTAGGTAGCACCAGCCATGACAAACATTCCAGCTTGGAAGGGCTACCCGTAGCAGTATGGCATGCCCTGCACAGACCGCTGCTGGAATGTGCAGCGGAAGGGCTACCTGTAGCAGTATGGCATGCCCCGGTGCTGGAATGTTTGGAGACCGCACAGACCGCTGCTGTGACCTGCTGGCTCAGCTCGCCTTGTTTGCAATGCAACCTTCTAGTGGATCGAAAGAAACTCCCACAGATAGCATAGAACATGATCTTTACCTGTAGCAGTATGGCATGCCCTGGTGCACCAACCACTGCTGTGACCTGCTGGCTCAGCTCCCCTCGCTTGCGATTCAGATACGCCGCGTTCTGACTCTCTGCCATCGCCTCGTCTGTTGACCTGTACAAGACTGGGAAGGGAGAGTTGCGGGGGAAGAAGAGGGGGATGAAGAAACAGAGAGGGCTTGTGCGTCATCTTGGCTTGCCTCGCTTGCGAGCCAGATAGACCACATTCTGACTCTCTGCCGTTGCCTCGTCTGTCAACCTGTACAAGACTGGGAAGGGAGTGAGGAGGGGAGGGGAGCGGGAGCAAGTAGAAGATGGGTGTAATCCAAAGCTCGCCTTGCGTGCAAGCCAGATACGCCGTGTTCTGACTCTCTGCCATTGCCTCGTCTGTTGAACTGTACAAGACTGGAGCACGGGGAGAAATCGGGGAAAGAGAGGGGGAAGTCGTCCCTTTACACTCACGTGATAGCTCCGACGCCACAGCCACCACGCGCTGTGAATCCCTTGCCTCTTGGAAGGAAGTGGAGCACAGGGCACGTGCGGAAGAAGAGGGGGAAGCCATTGAGGTGTATTTTGAGGCGCCTCAAAACACCTCTTTACACTCACGCGATAGCTCCGAAGCCACAGCCACCACACCCTGGGTGTCCCTCGCTGCCCAGAAGAGAATCAGTCCAGATCTCAAGATGTCCTTTGCTCCAATAAAGTCTTTGTATCCCTTACCCTCCCCTTCCCCCCCTCTTTTTACGCTTACATGATAGCTCTGACGCAACAGCCACCACGCCCTTAGAGAATTATTTCAGATCTCAGGATGTCCGTTGCTCCAACCAGGTCGCTGGTTGCCGTGGTAGTGCTATGTGTTTTTGATTTCGAGACATTTTTGCATTAGTATTTATTTGAGTAGTAAAATAACTCACGTGACAACTCTGCTGCAACAGCCACCACGCCCTGGGTATCTCTTGCCGCCCGGAATAGAGTCAACCCAGATCTCAGAATGTCCTTTGCTCCAACAAGGTCGCTGGTGCGCAGTGCAATGCCGCCTATGGCCAGCAGGAAATGGGCGGCGATCTGGTGGTTGCTGAGCTGGCGGTGAGTCACCAACAGCCCTTGGGCGAGTCGGCTCCTGCCACGTGGAAGGACAGGGAGAACGGGAATTGAACAGTGTATGACGCTTGCCTAAGTGAGTTGTCTCAGACAAGTTAATTTCAAGAAATCAGTGAGCCCAGATTACCAGACCCACCTTGCACCGCCACAAACCCACCTTGCACCGCCACAAACCCACCTTGCACCGCCACAAACCCACCTTGCACCGCCACAAACCCACCTTGCACCGCCACAAACCCACCTTACCCCATCAACACACATGGCACCACGTTGAGACTCACCTAGCATCCACCAGGTTTCCCTGTCTAAGCGCCAGCAGAGCTGTTGCGAGCAGCTGCGCGCACTGCTCCCTCTTCCTTTCCTCCCCTGTTGCAACCCCTGCTGCTGACGGTGATGCTGCTGATGGTGAAGGCAATGCTCCCGCTTGTTGCTGCTGCTGCTGTCGCGTTTGGGCGTGCTGTGCTTCTTCCTGCTCCAGAGCTGATAGAATGTCCACTGCCTGAAGAAACGCGGAGGGACAAGAATAGTAGGAGGCAGCACCGATAATGGCTAAAGAAAGAAGGGTGGACTCTAAAGGCGTGGTGTGCTTCTTGCTGCTGCGGCTGCCGCGTTTGGGCGCCCTGTGCTTCTTCTTGCTCCAGAGCCGATGGCATGTCCACTGCCTGGATGAAGGGTGATGGATGAACAAAGAAGAGGCGGCAAAAGAGATGATGGAGTAGCCAAGAGCATTTTTTCCTCTTTTTTTTTGCTTTTTGTTTTGTTTTTTGTTTTTTTTTTTTTGTTTAGAAAGAGCTTATACGCATGGCGTTTCATCCGGCAGAAGATTTCCTGAACCTTGCAACAATAACAGCAGTTTCGCGCCCACAAGACTCAACAGTCTCAGAAGACTCGCCTGGGATATGTGCCCGTGTGAGGGGTCGTCGATGGTGAGATGCACGATGGCAGAGAGGCAGAGAGCAAGGCAGCGGATGGGCCGATGGTGGAGATGGTGGAAGGAGGAGGACCCGGCCTGGAAGGGAGTGCATGGGGGGAAGGGAGTAGGGTGGGGCAATAAACGGGAGGGTAAGGGGAAAGGAAGTGGTTGCAGGCAGAGAGCCAGGCAGTGGATGGGGCGGTGGTGGAGGTGGTGCGGGAGGAGGACGCTGCCTGAGGGGTTGTGTGGATGGGAGAGATACAGAATGGGAAGAGGCGAAAAGGAATGGTTGTGAGGTGAACAGGCAGAGGGCCAGGCAGCGGATGGGGCGATGGTGGATATGGTGGGGGGAGGAGGATGCACCCTGGAAGCGTGTGGGTGCGTGGGAGACAGATAGAATGAGTGGTTGTGAGCGGTTTTGGCAGTGGCTGGCGAGGTAGAGAGGAAGGCAGCAGATGGGGCGATGGTGGAGATGGTGGGGGGAGGGAGGAGGATGTAGTCTGCGAGTGTGTGTGTGCGGGGGTTGCAAGGTTAACAAAAACGGGAGTGGATATTTGTGGAGGTGAATGGCACATTGGTGAAAATGGCGAGGCGTGGCAAGAGACCAAGAAAGACTTTAGAGACGTCTCAAAGAGACCAAGAAAGCAAGAACACAAGAAAGCAAGAAAGCAAGAACACAAGAAAGCAAGAAAGCAAGAACACAAGAAAGCAAGAAAGCAAGAAAGCAAGAACACAAGAAAGCAAGAAAGCAAGAACACAAGAAAGCAAGAAAGCAAGAAAGCAAGAAAGCAAGAACACAAGAAAGCAAGAAAGCAAGAACACAAGAAAGCAAGAACACAAGAAAGCAAGAAAGCAAGAACACAAGAAAGCAAGAACACAAGAAAGCAAGAAAGCAAGAACACAAGAAAGCAAGAAAGCAAGAACACAAGAAAGCAAGAAAGCAAGAACACAAGAAAGCAAGAAAGCAAGAACACAAGAAAGCAAGAAAGCAAGAACACAAGAAAGCAAGAAAGCAAGAGAGATCAAAAGAGCTAGCAGGCAAGGCAGTCACGAACCTTGGCAGCAGCGGTGCTGAAGTGGCGGATTGCGATTGGAAGGTCGATTGTGGCATGGGCGTACTGCCCGAGCAAGAGGTGGAGGTTCGGACCAAACGAGGCCAGCAGGGTCGGGAAGCGACTTGACCAATCACAAATCTCCAACAGAACCTGGTAGGTTGGTTGGAATGATTGGGGGGGATGGAGAAAAAACCAGCTAGACTTACCCATTAAGAGAGAGGGTATTCTGTAAATGTCAACGCCAGCACCACTTGGGCTTCTAAGACGTAGAGCAGGAGGGTGCCTGCCCACGCACATCCCCCTTATAACCCCTTTCCAACCCCCACGCACCTGTATTTCTCTGCTTACCCGTTGCGAGAGAGTTTACTCAGTAGAAGTCAGCGCCAGCACCGCGTGGGCCTCCAAAATGTAGAGCAGCAAGAGGAGGAGCGCCACTGTAACCAGTTCCTCCCTTCCCTTCCCCGTACATGCAACCTCGAATTCGCTTGCTTACCCGTTGCAAGAGAGAATACTCATTAGAAGTCAGCGCGAGCACCGCTTGGGCCTCCAAGACGTAGAGCAGCAAGAGGAGGAGCATGCCGGCCCACGCCACACTCCACCATCACTCTACCCCCTCCCACACACATATGCCTGCATGCGCAGCTTACCCATTGAGAGAGAGGATACTCTGTAGATGTCAGCGCCACCAGCACCGCCTGGGCTTCCAAGACGTAGAGGAGCAAGAGGAGAGGAGCGTGCCTGCCCAAGCCCCCTCGCCCCCCTTCCCATCGCCCCGTTCAGACACCACACACCCCTGTGTCTGTTTGCTTACCCGTTGCGAGAGGGGGTATTCTGTAGATGTCAGCGCCAGCACTGCTTGGGCTTCCAAGACGTAGAGAAGCAAGAGCAAGAGCGTGCCTGCCCACACCACACTCCAAGGCTCCAGAGTGGACTCTGTGATGGGAGTGAGAGAGTGGAAGGGGAGCAAGGCAAGGGAGAGACACGTGGAATAAACTGACTGATGAGGCAGCTCACACTGCGTAGAGGAGCAAGAGGAGTGTGCCGGCCCACGCCACACTCCACGGCTCCAGAGTAGACTCTGCAATGAGAATCACGGGTGTTGACACATGAAGTAGGGAGTCAGAGGACTGTATTCGTGGTTCCATTGCAGAGTCTCCACGCTAGGAGCCATTGAGAGGATTTTTTGAGAATTCTCGAGCGTGTTTTTTGAGAATTCTCAAAACGTGTTTTTTGAGAATTCTCAAAGAATTCTCAGAGAATTCTCAAAAAACACGGGTGTTGACACATGAAGTAGGGAGTCGGAGCACTGCATTCGTGGTTTTTGAGTCGACTCAAGAGCACTGTATTCGTGGTTTTTGAGTCGACTCAAGAGCACTGTATTCGTGGTTTTTGAGTCGACTCAAGAGCACTGTATTCGTGGTTTTTGAGTCGACTCAAGAGCACTGTATTCGTGGTTTTTGAGTCGACTCAAGAGCACTGTATTCGTGGTTTTTGAGTCGACTAAAGAGCACTGTATTCGTGGTTTTTGAGTCGACTCAAGAGCACTGTATTCGTGGTTTTTGAGTCGACTCAAGAGCACTGTATTCGTGGTTTTTGAGTCGACTCAAGAGCACTGTATTCGTGGTTTTTGAGTCGACTCAAGAGCACTGTATTCTTGGTTTTTGAGTCGACTCAACAGCACTGTATTCGTGGTTTTTGAGTCGACTCAAGAATCACGGGTGTTGACACATGAAGTAGGGAGTCAGAGGACTGTATTCGTGGTTCCATTGCAGAGTCTCCACGCTAGGAGCCATTGAGAGGAGCACTGCTATTCGTGGGCTGGATAGGCATGCCCTTACTAGGTGAGGAAGCATGTCCAAACTTACCTGTTGAACCACTTCAGAGAAACATCAAACGTGCCTCTTCGTATGGCTCAAGGGAAGCAAGAGTGTGAGTGTACCCGTTCAGTCACTTGTGAAGATTCTCAAAAGTGACTCTTGATATTTCTCAGAAACGACGCAAGGGCGTGAGTGAGGGAGGGTACCTGTAGAGCCTGGGAGGACCCCGATGCGGTGAAGCTCATCTGAAAGGGTGAAGATTTCGAGAATGGTGAGAATGACAGGGGGGTGGGAACGAGCATGCGAGCAGGTGCAGGGGAGAAAGAGTTTTGGGACAAAAGAGAGGAATGAGAGGACTGGAAACTTGCAGCAGGAGGAGGAAACAGGAAGACGAAGATGGGAAGGACGCGATACTGTATGGGAAATGAAGAAAAGGAGGGATGGGAGGGGTGGTTGGCGAGACAACACTGGAAGGATCGGCAGCAACCATGCGCAGAATTCTATGTCATAACCCATGTCACACCCCACTGGGCGCATTGCATTGCCCCTCAACCCCAGTGGGGTTAGTACTAAGAATAAGTGCGTCACACATCAACAGCCACATCGCTACTCTCTCACACACCCCCCACCCACCTCGCAGCATCTCCCTCTCTTCCTTCAACGCCCCCTCAGCTTCCAGGAGCTTTCCTCCCGGGCGGCTCAGCATGACCTTTAGCAGGCCTGCCACCGCCCTGACAGCTGGCAGCGGCAGCCAATCAGCATTGAGCACGTGGGGCGGGCCCAGTGGTAACCGCATCAACGGATCATCCCTGAAACATGCGCCTGACGCTTCTCCTCCTTCCCCTGCGACCATTGCCCCTGCTCCGTTGCCCATCACCCCCCCTGCTGCTCCTGCTGCACCCACTGCTCTTACTGCTCCTGTATCCTGCCCCAGCCTCTGTGCATGCACATTCCCCCCCTGCTGCAGCTGACGTGGCGCTGACGCAGCAACTGGCGAGCTGCCAGCTGGCGCCTCACGATTCGCTGCAGGGGGACTCATCCCCGCCAGTGCCTCCTCTGCTGCTGCCACGTCAGCCTTGGCCTGGTTGTAGTCAGCCATGCGGAGGTGCCACGTGGCAGCCAGTAATTGGACGTAGACGAACAGGCCACGGTAGTCTGGCTGCTGACGTGGCGGGATCTGCTGCCACAACGAGGTGCATTCTGAAAGAAGGGTTGAGATCTGCTGTGGCGTGTGATGGACGGTCGAGATGCGAATGTGCAGCAGGGAAGCGGATAGCAGGAGCTGGTGGTGAAATGTATCAAGGGGCGGAAGGGATAGGAAGGGAAGGGAGGGAGGGAGGGAAGCGAGGAGAGGAGTGGCATATCAGCTAGCTGAAGCTCTCGCATGGAATAGCATCGCCTAGTCTCGCATGCTCTTCACCAACTGGTATGCACGCTATAGCGAATACATCAACAAATATATACACATACACACCTACTCCCACCTTCCTCCCCCCTCCTCCCCCTCCCCTTTCCCCCCCTTTCCCTCCACCACACACACACGTACCATCATGCCCCTATCCCCTGTCGTCTGTACAGCAGCCGTCCCCTTCCCCAGCGCACTAGCAGCCCGTTCCACATCCCCCTCCCCCAGCAGCCGCCCTGCCAACGTGCTACATACATACACAATCAACACTCAAGTGCCCCTTCACATCAGCAAGACACGCTTACCATCATGCCCCTATCCCCTGTCGTCTGTACAGCAGCCATCCCCTTCGCCAATGCCCCAGCAGCCCCCTCCACATCTCCCTCCCCCAGCAACCGCCCCGCCATCCCCACCGAGAACACCCCCATCCACCGAGCCAGCTCCGCCGCCGAACCTCCGCCCGAACCTCCGCCCAAACCTCCTCCCGAACCTAACCCCAAGCCTGCAGCCGAGCTGGGACCTGGTTCAGAACCCGAGGCTGAGCGTGGGAGTGTGGCGAGCTGGTGTGTGACTAGATCGATGCCCTTCTGAAGTACGTGCTTGTGAAAGTGGGCGTGGCCAATCAGGTGGTAACACGTGGCGAGCAGAGAGAGGGCCGTGCACTTGAGGAGGATATTCCCAGGAATGGCCTTCAGAAGCACTTGCTGCATTGGAAAAGAGGGGGGGAGACGGGGGAGAGGGCAGAGGGAAAGAGAGTGCACCACGCCACAGGTGGGAAGGAGGGTAAAGGCGGGAAGCTGTGGACTGCACAGCAGCACATCTTTTGACACGTCTCAAAAGACTCCAGCCAGCCAGTACCAGGTTGAGATTGAGACCACTATCAGATTCTACCAGTCCCACTCAACCACTGCGCACCAGTCGCCACCGCATCTCACCGCTCTCTCGAGATGCGCCTTGGCGTGCAGCACGTTGCGGGAGTGTTTCAGCAGCACGTGAGCGAACCAGCACCGCGTGCAAACCTCCACCATACCCTACTGGAACTGTTAATCACCGCACATCACCAAGTCTTACCGCTCTCTCGCCTTGGCGTGCAGCACGTTGCGAGAGTGTTTCAACAGCACGTGAGCCAGCCAGCACCGCGTGCAAACCTCCACCATACCCTACTGGAACTGTTAATCACCGCACATCACCAAGTCTTACCGCTCTCTCGAGATGCGCCTTCGCGTGCAGCACATTGCGGGAGTGTTTCAGTAGCACATGAGCCAGCCAGCAGCGGGTGCGAACCTCCACGAGAGGAAGGAACGGCTGGGTACTCTGACACACGGCTTCCAAGCACTTCACCAACTGCAAGAAGGGTAGGGGAGTGGCCGGGTTGGAGAGGAGGTGCGGGGGTCAACACGTGGGCCAACCAGCACTGCGTGCGAACCTCCACAAGAGGAAGGATCGGCTGGGGGCTCTGACACACGGCTTCTAGACACTTCACTACCTGCAGAGAGAGGGGGGGGGGGCCCGAGGGAAGGTGAGATGGTCTGTAACAGGGACGAATCGAAGTCCATTGATTAGAAAATTACCAGGGGCAACCACGTCAACGCTTCACCTGCGGAATCTGATGTGTACTCTCGAAGTGTGACGCCATGAGCCATAACGCGCTGGCCGCCTTGCTGCTGTCGCTCACCGACCCTGCTGTAGTCACACCCCCCCCTGTAGTAACACTTCCCGTTCTGCCCAGACCCGCCGACGGCGATAAGGGTCCGCTGTACGCGTTATTGCGGGGGTTACTGGTCCCGTTATGAGCATGAGCAGCCATGGAGAAACGGTATTTTCCTAGTGAGCTGTTCTTGGTTGCACGTGTCGCTATCCGTTCACCCTCTCTGCCTCTGGTCGCGCCAGCTGGGTGCCTTAGAAACTGCCACGTGTCTTCACTGAACGTGATCGCGTCACCAGGATTTGATTCTAGGAGGCAATCGTAAATGCCGAGCAGGTTTTAAGATGCCGAAGGATTAGCGAAGGAACTAGATTAGCGAGATCAAGACTCTTCGCAAAGATGCTGAGAAAGCCTGGAGGTTAAAGAATTCGCAAGGCGACTGAGGACTAGCGAAAACTATTTCGCAAGGCTAACGAATCTAGCGAACCCTACGATCGCGGAAGCTAACGAACTCGCAAGACGAATGAGGACTGGCAAACATTCTCAATGGCACCACCAAAACTGCAGTCCCGCCAATTTCCAGCAAAAGCGAATCAAGCGATGCATTATAGTGATCAATAGAGTTGTCAGGCTAAGAGCCTCAAGAGCAGAGGCGAGAGACCAGGAGCAGCGCGAGCTGGGTTTGCCTGGGAGAATGCTGCGGTGTTGCCTGGCGGGAGTGTCAGAGCGACCTTGGGAATGTCTATTCTGGGACGGACCGCAAACAAGAAGTGGATTCCGTACTCGTGACGAGAGGATCCGTTCACATCTCAAAGATAAACTGCTTACACCGCAAAGTTTCGTATTTTCGGGACAAACTTTCAAAGACAACCAACGAACCCAACCAACCAGTGAGCTTTCTCACCCTCCAACCCAACTCAACCCCTTGGCTAATCCCCTCTCCCCTTACACTTGCTTGTAGGTGTTGCGCTTCCCCACTTTCTCAGTCACGACTCTGTTTCTGACAGGCAGGTGTTCCACGCCTTTACCGCGCGCATCAGTTTCCGCAGATATTATTTTCGCGCAACCTCTTCCGCGCAATTCCGCCCCGCTCAACGTTATTACGCGTATCCTCCCCTTCCGCGTGCCATCTTTCCCCCGACCATGGAGCTGCGCAGCGGAGCGATTCTCCCCGGCCCCGTGCCCGTCCCCATAACGGCGGCGGAGCAGCACGCGGACGGGTGGTTCCGCGAGGGCGTGCGCCTGGTGTTTGCGCGCTGGACTGCGCTGCAGCTGGCGGTGGAGAATCAGTGGGGCGGCGGAAGGAGCGCGGAGAAGGCGCAACACATGCAGGCGGACCTGGTGCATTTCTGCTACAGCAAGCGCGGTAAGCGGCGAAGGTGGGGGGGATTTTGCGCGATAAGCGGGGGAGATCGGGGGAAGGCGCGACACCTGCAGGCGGACCTGGTCCGCAAGCGCGGGTGGGGCGGGGGAAAAAGGGGAAGGGGGAAGGGAGTATTAAGCCGTTATGGGGAGCAATTATTCGTGGCGGCCAAACCGCCAATCAGTGCCCACGTCGTCTTGCAGAGTGCAGAAACATCAACGCTTTTGGTAACTAGGCTGAAAAACAGGATGTTGGTGAGAGACTTATTAATTTACTGAAAAACGGGTGTTACTGAAAAACGCTTTATGTATTATATCGTTTTTCTCATTACTGTGGTGAGTGTACCAGGAGCGGTGTACGGGGACGAGCTGGAGGAGTGGCTGGACGAGGCGACGGTGAGGGATTTCAACATGGAGGTGGAGGACGGGAGCCTGCGAGAGGTGAGTAAGGAGGATTCATATTCAAGGGAAGAATCGGTAGGTGCAGGTGCAGTACGGTTACTGCAGTGAGAGACTGCAACATGGAAGTGGAGGATGGGAGCCTGCAAGAGGTGAGAGGAGGATTCATATCCAAGGGAAGAATCGGTGGGTGCAGGTGCAGTTCGGTTACTAGCGACGTCAACATGCAGTGAGAGACTTCAACATGGAGGTGGAGGATGGGAGCCTGAGGGAGGTGAGCGGAGGATTTGAAGCTGAGGGGACGACAGGGGGGGTTCACTTGGAGTGCACGTACTAGGGAGTTCAGCATGCAGTAGAGAAGGGACTTCAACACGGAGGTGGAGGATGGGAGCCTCGGAGGGGTGAGTGAGGAGGATTTATATCCAAGTGAAGAAGCGGTGGGTGCAGGTGCAGTGCTGTTACTAGCGACATCAACATGCAGTGAGGGACTTCAACATGAAGGTGGAGGATGGGAGCCTCGGAGGGGTGAGTGAGGGAGTCACCGGAAGGCGGGGAATGATTGGATCCGGGAGGAAAATTGTGGGTAATAGGTGCAGTGCAAATGGGCAATAGTAGGGACAATAGCTTGCAGGCGCTAGGTTATTCCGAGGAGCGTGGTGAGGGAGGAAAATGGGCGTGAAGGGAACGCATGGAGGGAGGGAAGGGAGGGGGGAAGGGGGAAACGGAAATAAGGTGAAAGGTTGAGCAAGCTGAGCATATGCTGGCTGTGCTTTGCTGGTCCCAGCTGCCTCAAATGCATGGTCATGATTGAAGTGGCAAACGTTGTGTTGATCGTTTCCCATCTGTTCTCTGTTCCTCACTCTCATTCTACCCTTTCTTTCCTCTTCCTTCCTCCTGGCAGGTGGCAGATAAGGTAGTGGAGGTGTTTAAGGCATGTCGGGATGGCAGTTTCACACTTGTACAGCAGCTGCAGGCAGAGGAAGCAGCCGCTGCTGCCAAGGGAAGGCGCTCGGCACTGCAGCAGAGCAAAGCGGTGAGTCAGCATTGGCTGGGCGGTGACTCAGCATGGGCTGGACGTTTGTGGGGAGAAAAAAATGAATGCAGACGGTACAGGAATTGATTTTCGAACGTGTGTTGCATTTACTTTTACTTCTTAAACTCATGTTTCTTCCTGCATGCTGGTGTGTGTGCTTGTTTTCACAGGCAAACCGCAACGCAGACAGCGATGACAGTGATTCTGACGTGGAGGAAGTGGGGAACGGGGGAGCCATGGATGAAGATGCGCCAGGAAGGGGTGCTGGGATGGGAGCTTCTTGTTCGGGATCGCGTAGAGCTGCTAAAGAAACTCCTCCGGAGCCGTTGCTGACACAAGAGGAGGTGGCCGACGGTTGGGAAGTGGCTCCGACCAGACGATCTCGCAGGCTTTCAAAAGGGCCAGGGAATGTTTGAAGTCGATTGAGGCGTTATGCATTTTAGTCAGCCCACAATGAGGGCTGTTTTGTATGTTGGAAGAAATATGTTTTTGTGTCCAAGTAGTTTTCCAGGCCTTCAAATGATACCTAAAGTACTTTTTGTTGTCCGTAACTTCACCTATGTAAGGAATTTTCCCGAATTCCTTATCGGGGTTGACTGCTTCGCGTACAACCCGATTTTCGGGGTTCGCACGTTCGGCCGATTTCAACGCTGCCGAGGCTCCTCGCGTCGCCTTCGGCATTTCCATCGCCAAACCTGCACCCAACCTCGCTCGTCCGAGGTTTCCTCCTAGCTAGGCTAGCCCTACATTAGTCTGTGTATTCATTGTATTCTCAGTTGATTCAGCCACAGTCTCGTTATTCGTTTACCTGCGCACTCTCTTTTACAACTCATAACACCTGGTATCAGAGCTACTTTCCTAGTTCACCCCGCTTTTCCGAGGGTAGTTTGGTGGCATAGGGTGTGGCTGGTTTAGTGACTACACGACGGTTGGCTGCAGGGATTGTTAATTCAATCATGCCCGACTCCGATAGTTCGTGTTTTCACTTGCCTGAAGGCCACGGAGACCCTGCCCACCAGATGTAGCGCTAGGCACATGGATCAGGAGGCGGCTAACAGGATGATGGCGCAAGTGGCAGAAATGCAGGTGAGCATGAGGACATTAATGGCGGAAGTGACAACACTGCGAGAGGAAAACGCCGAGCTACGCCAGACGCGAGGTGAAGCGCGTCAGGAGTCGCCTGTGGACGAAGGCGAGGGCAACAGTCAGGCGATGAGCAATCCGCTGGATGCGCTCACACGTGACTTCGAAGAGGAGGACAGGCAGCGAGCGGCAGCAGCGCCAGTTGCAGTAACGACGATCAAGATCAAGCCCGTTAACCCGCCCCCGTTTAACCCTACGGACAAGACGGTTACGGTAAAAGGGTGGCTGTTCGGGGTCGAGGTCTTTTTTACTGCAGCCGGAGTTAATGACGACGCCACGCGTATTAATTACGCGGTTTCGCTTCTTCGAGGTGCAGCGCTTGAGTGGTGGCGCCGAACCTTGGAAACA